AGATGAAGATCGTCCAGGTTGGTATAGTCCTGAGAAGGACTGTTTTTGTTGTTGTTGACTGACGTTTCGACAACCTTAGCGGTAGTCATCTTCAGAGTCAAATGAGGAGTAAACGTCAGGTTAGCCGTATTTGTTATCTGGTTCTTACGTCATTGTATTGTGTGTACAGGAAATGTGTGGTTGTCAATTATGTACTGTCATTGTGAATTATTGTGAAGTGAAATGTTTTTAGTTGATCGTTTGTTTGTATTGTGAATAAGTCGTTTGTAAGGTGCCGGTAATTGCTGTGATATGTTCAGAGGGGGTTGTTCCAAGTTGGTATACCAACTTTCTGATGTAAGCCTTTCTAATGTAATACCAACTTGGAACAAACCCCCTTGAACAGATCACAGCAATTACCGGCACCTTACAAACGACTTATTCACAATACAAACAAACGATCAACTAAAAACATTACACTTCACACTAATTCACAATGACAATACACAATTGACACCCACACATTTCCTGTACACAAAATACAATGACGTAAGAACCAGATGACAAATACGGCTAACCTGACGTTTACTCCTCATTTGACTCTGAAGATGACAACCGCTAAGGTTGACGAAATGTCAGTCAACAACAACAAAAACAGTCCTTCTCAGGACTATACCAACCTGGACGATCTACATTTACAAACATGTATCAATGGTTGTATATTGTATAATTAGTGCATAATTTGCTTATTTCAAGGGGAGGGGTGTGATCCTTATGTCTTGATGTGTCAGATGCATTGAACTGAAATACATCTGGAACGATAACTCCTATAGTTTTCCCAATGATTGGCTGAAGCCAAAATACACCTAAAATTTGTCATTCCCCCCTGGAAATAATGCGTGTTTTTTTCGGCGAGCGATGTTTGTCTAGGCTTTTTGGCAGTTGGAAAACGTAAAAAAATGATTATTTATCGTTTTTTTACATATTTTGTGCTGTTAAATGTTTGAATATTCATAGAATTTTAGACACCTTTTTCGAGTATGATTCATGTCCTTTTACGTTTTATCAATGTTCCAGTGATATTGTTTGTTTGACGACACACAATTTTTCCTTGTTTATTTCATTGTTTTTGTATCAACTACCAAGCTTATCGGCCTGCCGTGATATGCATTGTTTTCATTTTCTTTTTGTCCTATTATATGCTTTACACAGACAAAATAAGAATGGCGCGTTTCTTAATTGAAAATATTCTGGATGTTTATGCATTTTTATCAATAAAAGAGCTTGTTAAGAACTCTTTTTGCGAAGATCTTCACTTTTCTTTATGACACTGATCTCTATGTATATTTTCAGTATGTGTATTTTCATGGCATGAAAAATGCTTCTAAAAAAACAAATTTTTCTCCTTGGCAAATCGCTTGATTTTTACGAAACCATATAGGCTTGTGTATTTAACATGGAATTATAATATTTAGGTGGTTTGAACGTTCGGGTGTGCCTAGAACTTTCAAAAACTCAGAAAAAGCAACAAAAATCGCGCGGAGTATTCGTAATTTTTGTCTTTGCTTCAAAATTTCTAAGCAATGCTATGACTTTTGGCCAATTTTTTTGACAGTCTATAATTTCGACTAATATTCTTCAAATTCGATGGTATTTTGAAAAACTAACGCAAAGTTGAATTTTGAAATTTTACAAATATAAAAATGCTGTTTTTTGAATTTTGTTTTACAAAAGGACTGGCGCGACCTGCATAAATGAAAAATCTGGCTTCATTTTACCCCCCTGACTTATCGTTCCAGATGTATTTCAGTTCAATGGTCAGATGCGATTTGTCTCGTGGACAGACATAATGAAACGTAGAAAACAGAAATTGGTTTTGGTTTTTGACGAAGAAAATAGGAAGTAAGTTGATTTGTTTGTCACAAGTAATTATAACTGCTCGTGTGCCTGTCATGTAATTTAGTTCCGTGTTTTGTCGTTTCATGTTTTCGCTATTTCAAAGTCAAAATGTATCAATTGATATTTTATTATATAAACATTATAGAGAATTTCTGACTGGCTTCAGAAAACGGAAAAATGCGAGGAGAAAGAAGGCTTTGGAAGAGAATCGCGTAAAAATAGAGGAGAATCGTAGAAAGCTACGTGAAGAGGTATAACCTACATTTACTTGACATAATTGTTCTGCATATTCACAAGGTTAAATAGTTGGAATGTTATTAAACAAAAAGAATGATAGCACAACGCTATAACCAACAACTACAAACAATAACGACCTTATCTAACAACATTTGAGAAATTAACCTTCCACTCCTCTTCCTTGTAAACGATACAAGTCTACTCAAAAGCAGAGAGCCTTATACGCTTCAAGTCCCGGGCTTGTGACCGGTATAGCAGAGTTAAAAGGTGAAAGGTTTATCATAGATTAATCAACTGAATATTCCTGCTCATTTTTTGTTTGGAAGCATGTTGAACAGTTCATATGGACAAAGCTCGAATTCCATATTAAATATCAGTAACATAATCCGGTGTTAATGTTAGACAATACATCATTATGTTACTGATATTTAATATGGAATTCGAGCTTTGTCCATATGAACTGTTCAACATGCTTCCAAACAAAAAATGAGCAGGAATATTCAGTTGATTAATCTATGATAAACCTTTCACCTTTTAACTCTGCTATACCGGTCACAAGCCCGGGACTTGTAGCATATAAAGCTCTCTGCTTTTGAGTAGACTTGTCTGGTTTACAAGGAAGAGGAGTGGAAGGTTAATTTCTCAAGTGTTGTTAGATAAGGTCGTTATTGTTTGTAGTTGTTGGTTATAGCGTTGTGCTATCATTCTTTTTGTTGTGCATATAATGTGAATGCTTGTCGTTTTATCATTCAAACATAATATTGGTAAGAGAATGCCCAAGTATATTGTTTTGTCACCATCAGCGGCATTGGGGCTCAGCCAACTCAGTAATTATGAAGGAGAATGCTTGTATATTGGGAGATTTTCCCATCACTTGTGTGAAATTTACACTGCAATTATGTTGTTATTTCTGGCTTCAGGCATAAGCAATACTCAAAACCTTAAAAAGTATGGCATGTTAATTGTGTTTTAGGGTAACTTTGTATCAAAACATATGTTGTCATAGTTTTTCACTGTTCTTCTCAGAGATACAAAGGCAAATGTGCAATGTCACATGTGTGACCCACAAAAAATGAAAGTTTTCTATATTGCTAAGTCCTTTTGAAAAGTGTCACAGTCTGTGAACATTGAAATGGCAAAGTAATGAAATTAATTAATTTTGTTTTAAATGAATTTGACAAATGCAGTTTGACATTCAAAAATGGTCTAAATAGAACTAAAAAAATCTTGAGATTTTGCTTTTTGCCCTGTAATCAATGCAATGTGTGGTTTTAAATGGACATTATTTGTCCAGTTTGATAATCAAATTTGCTAACATTTTTAATCTTTTGCTATCTTCATTGCGATGCACTGACCATTTAAATAAATTTTGTATAGAAACAAAATTCACTAAAACAACATATTCAAGAGTACAGAGAAAACACAGGTATCCTAGTACTGTGGTCTATGTTTCTTTTAGTCAATTAGTCAATTCTTTTTTATGGATTGACTTGTAAATATGAACATTCCACCCCCCACCCCCCACCCCCGCTCAATTATGAAGCTGCTTATAGCACTGTTAAACAGCATTACAAACTTCGGGATTTCTTATAGAGATCTCTGGATTTATTAAAACAATTTAAAACAATTATTGAAGTAATTTCAGGATATTTGCTGGCATACTTGGGATTTCTTAGGTTTTTCTAAATTACAGTTCAAACACTTAACATCCCCAATATTTGACCTTTAATCTAAGCTAGATTCCTTTGTAAGGACAAGCAATAGGGGGTTTGAGGGTGTGTTTGGTTAAGATATTCCTTTGTCACCTTCAGGATATTGTATCAATAAACATTATGGAGCATATGGATCGTGTACAGTTTGACTTATGCCACATTTTGCCATTTGTAATGCTATGTTTGTTAATGTTTTATGAATGTTAGTATGTTTTACTGGGAGCATTTGACAAGGTTTTAGACAGAGCATTTGACAAGGTTTTAGACAGAGCATTTGACAAGGTTTTAGACAGAGCATTTGACAATGTTTTAGAGAGAGCATTTGGCGATGTGTTAGTGAAAGCATGTAACAATGTTTTAGAGACACCATCTGATAATGAATCCTTGGAAAATGAGGAAGACGTTTTGTATGATTTTGGCCAACATACTGTGACAGTTTCTACGATCAATTGTGAGGGCAGAGCAAAGGATCCATTGACATACACCCCAACTGTGACGGTATGTTTTTGGTTACATGAAGTTATGTAATACACTTCATTCCACGGGGAGGGGGTTGTTGAGAGGATGCGCAAGTTGAATGAAATCTGAAGTCAATGGTTGGACATCATTTTGTCTTGAATGTTGGCCATAGTTTATGATTGTGTCATTATAAAAACAGTTTAAAACATGTTGAACTAAATATATAACTGAAATGCTACCTACCTTTAAATACACATGCTGTACTATCACGAATAAATGAAGTTTCTTTGGGCCGTGCGTGAAAAGATATTGACTAGTTCAACTGCTGGCTTCAAATTTTGGCGGGTTATATTCAGGTCAATTTAAAACAAAAATAAAAAGAAGATATGGCTTGCCTTTTTATTTGAACTGGCATATTGTTTAATATATTTTAGAGTCGGGAAAAGCTTGAAGTGGATGAAGATGCTACTGCTGTACAATCCAACGGGAAAGGGATAATGTAAGTCTTTAGTTTACGAATTTGTTGACTTTAAAATAGAAAAAAAACTATTTTCATTTTTTCAGGGACAAATTAAAAGAAAGACACAGTTTAGAAGAAAGCTAAGAAAAGGAAAATTCAAGCGTTGAGCGACAAGAAAGGGACAGGGTCAAAAACGAAGAAAGGAAAACACGCAATTCGGCGTGGAGGAATCCAAAACAAAATAAAGAAACAATAAAAAGAAATGTTACTATCCATACGATGCGAAGGATCATTTTGCGAAATTTTTTAAGGTTAGCTTTTTTGCAGTTAGAACCATTGAACTAATTATGCTACTGGAAGGCTTACCTCCGTACGGGCTGTCACAAAAAAACGGAACCCAACTAAATTAATTATGTATGCGCTGAAATTATTATGCCTAATAATGCAATTAGCGTTTAGTGTACTTTACAGTTCTGCCTTTCACTGATTTTCTCTCAAATTTATTACACAAAAGCTTTCTGATATCAAAGTGGTGTAAAACCACCAAAGCATAATCGTATTTTCCATCAGTTGCAACGACCATGTAGAAACTACGGTGGCCAAGAAGGCTCAACAAAGTGTGTTGTGAGTTTTTGTGTTTGCGTTGCGATTTTGTGCTTGCGTTGCGACTTTATTGCTTGCATCGCGACTTTATTGCTTGCGTTGCGACTTTAATGCTTGCGTTGCGACTTTATTGCTTGCGTTGTGACTTTATTGCCTGCGTTGGGATTTTATTGCTTGCGTTGTGACTTTATTGCCTGCGTTGCGACTTTATTGCTTGCGTTGCGACTTTATTGCTTGCGTTGCGACTTTATTGCTTGCGTTGCGACTTTATTGCTTGCGTTGTGACTTTATTGCCTGCGTCGCGACTTTAACTTTATTGCTTGCGTCGCGACTTTAACTTTATTGTTGCGTCGCGACTTTAACTTTATTGCTTGCGTTGAAACTTGTAAACAATTAGTTGCGTTGTGTATTTCTTGTGCTTGTGTTGTGAAATATTTCTTTCATTTTATAAATCTTTTTAAAGTTTGAATAATTTGTTTGCGTTCCGAAATATTTTATTTTGGTTGAGCCTTCAGGGCCACCGTAAAAAACTAGCCTGTAACTAAATCAACCAAGCGGAACAAATATCTATTGCAAAAAATATCTTATTCAGATTTCATTTTGATGCATACATAAATATTTGCATGGGTTCCGTATTTTTGAGCGACGCATTGTATATAAATATCTCTGTCCTTGCATGAAGCCAAATTGCACCTCCAGACACTCGTGACTAGAAGTCATCAAATCCTGCATTCTACGTAGCTGATCGTCGTTAATCAGCATTCTGTGGGCCGTGCGTGGAAAGATTGGGACTAGTCAAATTGTTGGCTTCAAATTTTGGCGGGAAGTAGCCGTCCAGTTATATTCAGTTTAATTGTTAGCACCTGATTACATGGACTCAGTTGTCGCAGGCGGGTGAAGTTTCCGTCTGCATCCGTCTTTTTGCATATTCAAATCATGTGCGCATGCTCAATTGCTCATACAAGAGTTTTCTACATCTAGGGTGGAAAACTTGAGAAAACATGATCACATGAGCAAGTGGGAGAATTTTCATCCCGCGTTGCCAAGTTTGCTTAGCCGTCTACAACAAATGTTTTCCTTGTTATAACAAAATTTTTATTACTTTTAGTTATTAAAAAGGTCGTAGTATCGATGAATTTGTCTCACCTCAGCTAGCCGGGACAGTACGGTCCATGTAATCGGTCCTTGAGTGCTGTATCGAGTGGATGCATGTTGTTTAAACACACCACTTTTACAAAACGTTTCGTCATATCTATGTCTATATATTTGCATGGTGAATGTTGAATATTTATAAAAAGAAGTATTATGCGAATATTTTCGAAGTGAGTGCTTTGAACCCTGGAGTATCGTTATATGTTTGTAGATGTAGATCGTCCATATTAGTGTAGTCCTGAGAAGGACTGTTTTTGTTGATGTGGACTGACGTTTCGACAACCTTAGCGGTAGTCATCTTCAAAGTAGTATAGTAGTTTTATGGGTGGCCGCTGCTAATTTTTATGCTATATTTTAAAATAAAAACAACAAAACACGTGCGCTGATTGGTCTTTAGCCGAGTTTGCATTAGCCTGTGCAAATCGATCTGAGCTCAACCAATGAAATCAATCAAAAAGAATATGCAAATCAATCATGAATACATGTTACAGGAAAATTAATACGTTTGTTTTAAATTTCTCTTTTTTGCATTGTTGTTGTTTTATAAAAGAAGTAAAAGATGTGTTTCGTGTTTGCACTTGCTTATGCAAACCTCGGAGACGTTTGTGAGAACTCTCGCGCATGTGCAGGCTTGTTCTGGCCTGCTTTCACCGGGAGAGACGCTTGTTACACAATAATATTTTATTTAATTTCTTTATTATATTTGTAATATTCAAATAAAGGAATAAAACTAAACTCGTTATTGCCAAGAGTTTTAAACGTAGTTGAGCCTGAAAACTTTTAGGTATGTTTTTGTTTTCTAAAATCCGTACTGTAAAAGAAATCACTTTTATTTAGTTCACAACATAGTTACGTGCAATTTGTGAGATAAAATGGACAAACTATCGCTTGGGTTATCATTGGGAGAAGTTAAAGTACACTGTTAAAAGTATCAATAAGGCCTTAGTAATACTTTTAACGATCAAAACATCCGTATTTAAAATATTAGTAATATTGGCGAGAATCTCTCGTCCATACGCAGTTTAAAAGAGATTTGACTCGTCTCCAATCCCTGTGGGCTTGGTAGCTCAACAGGTAGAGCGGCGGACTAGCATCCCAAGGTGCGAGTTCAAATCTCGTCCAAGTCACATGCTTTTCATATGCATATTAAAATACCGTTTTAGGATTAATATATTAAAATATTAGTTAGGGGCCGATTACATGCAGCAATTTCAGCCCGGTGTTTAGACCGGGTTGAAATTTACGAAGCTCGTCCGAGGCATGATCGCCAGTTGTCGTTAATTTGTTGTCATTTTGTTGTCGTCATCATAAGCAATGGGTACGCATGCGAGAATATTTTCAGCTGTGGTTTCAGCCCCTGAAACGATTACATGACAGATTTTTCAGCCCGGGCTGAAATTTCATCCCGGGTAGCTCAAACGGGGCTGAAATTCCAGCCCGCTGAAACTCAGCCTGGGCTGAAATTGCTCGATGTAATCGGCCCTTAGTCAGCATTGTACACAACTTGTGAAATTTCTTCTTTGAGAATTAATTGTGATTAAAAGACACGACGAAATTCTATTATCATGTGGCCTTGGAAATGAAAAACTTCTTTGGTTTTAGAATTGTTTCACTTTTCAGAAGGTTGTGGAAAAAGGCAATGCACATTAGCAATAAATGCACCTCTTTGCAATAGGTTTTCTATGGGGGGAGGAGGGGCTCAGAATATCATCATAAGTCCAGGGACGGATGCACTATGGGGGAGAGGGGGTGTTGTGTTTTGTTCATTTAAAAGTGAGCCATTCATAGCCATCCATTCCCTCTCATAATGAACAGTTCACCGCTGTTTAAATAAACCCATAACAAATGAAATGTTCAAAGTTTTGTCATCTCTGTCAAACACTCTTTACTAGTTTCACAGTGTTTTTATCTGGTAAATACGCCATAGCAACGAAACTGATAAATACGTGTAATTAAATTAGTTAGCTATAAAGCTCTTTGTTGAAACTTTCACATTTAAGACACAACGGAAGGCAATTGTCACCAGGATGTTCTTAAACGAAAAACTTCCTTTAAATTGCGGAAATAGTAAGACCTGAAAATTGTCGAAGTATTCAATTTTAATGTAAAACGAAAGAATCTGAGAAAGCAGTCTGTGTGGCCATTTTTACAGTGTTTTCAAAAAGACAGTCAAACATGAAATAAATGTTTTTAGGTTGTCGACTTGTCGTATTGGCATTCTACCATTACAATATGCGTGGATTTTGTACATGAATCTTTTGGTGACATTTTTTTTTGAGGGGGGGGGGATAAAAAACTTTACCGTCTCTCGTCTTCGTGTTGTAAAATTAATATAAATGAAAAAGAGTTTACTATTGAGAGCGTCTAACGCTAACGAGCGTTACATTTTAAACATGGCAACGCAATAAATAAATAAGGGTTATATAGAAATGTTGTTTGTTTAAATGATGTTATACAGATCGATTTCTTTGTTCAAGTTAACCAGCCGGCATTATTAATTCGCGCGTTCGTCATTTGTCCTCGCACAGTCCACTATAATATCGACATTGTTTTGTTTATACGATTTAACCACTGGCTTTGACATATAACAAAATATCCTTTCCAATTGTAAATAGCAATAAGAGTTATGGAATAGGCAAACTATCGGTAGATTTATCATTGGAAAGACTAATCAAAATCTGCTACAAGCCAGAAGCAAGCTGAGTCAAATGAGAAAAAGCGACAAAATTGTCATTGAGACACGACGAAACGCAATTTGGGCTTACAAAAACTTCCTTTAAATTACCGAAATAGCTTGTGAAAATTGTTCCGTTATCAAACTATTAATTATAAAATCAAAGAAAACTGTTTGTGTGTCCTTCGTTACAAAGTTATTCTTTGTTTTTGGCCGCGAAAGTAATTCATAAACATACTTCAAATTTTTCATTAATATATTACAAAATAAAACTTTACAACGATTCTTTATGATTTAATTTTATTGTGAAGGTTTTATGACGTAAATTTGTGCATTATTCTGGGCGAGCGGATGTCTACATATTCGTTTATCTTCCTTATGGTACAAGACTATAAAACGACGAGGAGTCAAATGTGCTATTACTTTGTTTAGGCTGTCAACCTATAGTTGTGCAAAGCTGACCTGAACGCAAGTTAACAAAGGTGGGTACATAAGATCATGTATTGAAGGCCACTGGTTTATTAAAAACACCATTCATGGTTGATGTTGAATCTAAAACACATGAATTTTATTGGGGTTTTTCTTGAAATGTACGTCATTTGACTCCATGACGAGTGTTTAATAACTTAAAACGCTACAAATATACCTCGAGCATGATTGCGCTTGAGCATGATTAGGATTAATATATTATATATATTCTCTGATGATGGCTTTGGAATAACGATAATTGCGCTAGAATTCAGGGAAACAGCACCTTTGAAATTTCATTTGTAAGACAGTAATTCTTTTGAACATTACAATTTTAGTTTACTGGAGAAGATTGTATTACCTACACTAAAGGCAAGGGAGAGCAATGCTAGGCAGTATTGACGGAAATGTGTCCAGAATTATTGTCGACCTTACTTATATTTGAATTCGTGCGGGATCGTGACTAAAACACCACACGAGTACATACGAGTGACATACGAGTACATACAAGTACATACGACTGACATACGAGTACATACGACTGACATACGAGTACATACGGGTGACATACGACTATATAGGGTTAGGGTTATATAAATATATATATAAGTTTGAAAATTTGTAATCCAGGCATTTAATACATAAAAGATAAAAGTTTCTCCGGATTTTAAGTGATTTTTTATTGAGCTTTCGACTCCTTGCTTCTGATGAAGGCTCGAAGCAACGAGTCGAAAGCACTAAAAAATCACTTAAAATCCGGAGAAACTTTTATCTTTTATGTAAATATATATACTTGTGACCAGCTCGGTTTGCATAAGCCCGTACGAAGACGAAAAACATCTTTTATTTCTTTTATAAAATAACAATAATGCGAAAAAGACAAACATTTTAATTTTTCCTTAAAAATGTATTCATGATCGATTTGCAATTTCTCTTTGGCTGATTGATTGTTTTGATTGATTTGATTGGTTGAGCTCGGACTCGGATGCGTTTTGCACTGGCTAATGCAAACACGGTTCTAGACCAATCAGCGCACGCGTTTTATTGTGTTTATTTTATAATCATTAGTGAAATGAGGTTTCGTCTTTTTTAGGATTTGCGTGCTTCCGTTTCAATACCTCATCCAATGAACAAATGGCTTCCATTACGATAGAAAGAATAACGGGGTTTCTCATCGTTGCCTTTAAAAGGGGTGCAAAGGCTGCTGTTGGGGCTGCTGTTGGGGCTGCTGTTGTCGCTGCTTTCACTGGAGCCGTTACACAGGCGGTCGAAGCGGTTGTAGCAACAGCGATTAGTGCTGCGATTGCAGCCGGGATAGTGTCGGCGGTGTCTGGTAGCGTAACACAACTCACAACGCAACTGGTCCAAAAATCTATTGAAAAATGTTTAGATGAAGCCGTGAAAGATGTTATCAGTTCTCATGGGATAAAAGATATTTCAAAACCAAAAGCTGTAATAGCATCGGACGAAGTGCTCAACGAGCTGGCAAACGCTACGTTTGAAGCAGTAAACCCTCACTTATGGGCGTTTAAAGACCCTTCTTTCCTCAAAATCGCTAAGCTGATACGGGCCTTGCGTGCTGTACAGAAAGGGGAGAGGCCTGAATCTGAAGATGTTGGTGATGATGATTGTGTCGAAGAAAAGCGCCGATACTTTGATGGCCGAATGGTAGAGGAGTTTGTCTTCTTTACTGTATTTGGGAGTAACGATTGCCAGGAAGGTGATGAAGTCTATTCGATGTCCGTTCAGCAAAAAAAGCTTGAGTCATTGATACAAGACCCATTCGGGGGCAAGCTTGTTAATCTCTTTCTCCAGGAGCTCTCTGAAAGCTGCGTTGAACCTGTTCATGAAATAAAAATTGTTTTCCTCTTCTGCCAGGAGACAAAGCGGCTCAAAATGAAAAATCTAAAGTCGAGACGAAACCGATGAAAGTCGTGAAGATTGAAGAAGGGAAGCTTTTTCCTTTCGGCAATAAAAGGTTGATAGCGTTACAGTATCGGCAAATGACAAGCGAGCGAAGAGATGGCTAAAGGCTTACTTCTCTCTTGGATATGGAGCTTTTAACAATAGCTACATTGCATCAGCAGATCCTAACTGCGACCAAATCGACGCTCCACAAGGAAACACTGTAGGAAGACCCATATTGAATCTTGAAATGAAAGCGAAAGACAAATGTTTGCCCTTCTTTATCCTTGATTACGATGAACCAAAACCGGATGAAACTGGAAAGCTATTGACAACGAAGGATGCTGTTGCCATCCAATTCGCATCTACCAGTTTTCCAATTGCAGTGACAGGAACAGCATTTGGGATGCTAAACGAAATCATAAAATCGGAAGGTGTGGCCGCAGAAAACTGGGCGAAACGTGAGGGGCATAACATCATGTTTCAATCACTCATTCCTTTCTATGGTTTTTTTAGAGCCATCAAACGTCTGTACAGCCTGAAGTACGACGCAATCAATAAATTCTACAGTGAAGCACAGTCTAGAATAGCTAATTATATGAATGTGAGTATTTAAGCAATTCAGAGCAGGCACGTAGGAAGCAGCGCCTAGAAGAAACAATCCGATAATTTGATTTCATATTAGAAATGGAAATCCTGTCTTCAAGCTTTTGAGGACGCCGTTGCTTCGAAAATGAGAAACTTGATTGATCAATCTGATACAAACAATTTACCGCGGGCGCAATTGAAAAAGGACAATTATTAGGCGTTGTTTATAGATGCAATAAAAGTATTATTGATTCTGAATAGCTATCAACAATGTAAAAGCGTATCCTTTTCATGTAGACAAGTAAATAAATAAAACTTCCTTTAATTAAACTGAAATTCTGAAAGTTTTTGCCATTTTCGACTTTATTATAGGCAAAGAAAGCTATTTGTTTTGCTATCGTTGCTGTGCACTTTGTTCTAAAAATGTTAAGTGTGCTGCCACTTTAAAATTTCCAAAATTTTCCATTTAAGAGAGACATGACATACCATCTTGCTTTTTCTCTGTTTTCTTTCTCGTCACGCTAATGGAGGCTTTAAGGCTTCGAATTTTGTTTTAAAATGCTGTTGTCTAACAATTGAAGAATAAGATGTATATAAAGTATTGTACTCTAGTTCTTGTCTTAAAATAACGATATATGCTGTTTTTAAACTCTCAGCATAAAAATAAGTCTTTCAATCAAAATATATGAGTAATTCGTTTTACAAATCAGCAGCTGGCGGAATACTATCCTTTACTGCAATCTAATTGGCCGAACTGCCGTATCAGCGGGCGGATATGGTCCCCGATCGGCAAAGGGTTGTTTTGTTTCCTTTCGTAACCAACTGCGGATGTTCGTTTCTATGATTGCAACTTTATTTATGAGCAGAAACACTGATTGCAAGACAAAACAAGTGGATGACCTCCAATTTTATAGCACAATGTTCAGTTTTAACTCACCAACACGTTTCCAAATAACACGATTTGAGTTTCTATGGTCATGCAAAAGCCCAACCAAAAGACTTGCAAAAGATAAACTCATCTCGGAAGCCTTTTCGTTCATAAATTCACCTGTAAATCTGAAGGTAATTCCAAGGTGATGTCACCCAAGTTATAACGTCTTGTTTAGGGTTTCTAGCATACCGTGGCTTTGTCAGAGAAAAATAGAAAGTTTGCATCAACTGCTATATCGTCTGTCGTCTGTCTTTCCAATCAACAAAGTACTGCTTGAAGGTGACGGGTTACATTTCTTCTTTTAGTGGATGGTAATCAGTCAAGTCATAAACATCATTTTCAACATTGCCATGCTGGTGGAATAAACGACTGAGGCTGTGTTTTATTTTTACAATCTTTTCGCGTTTCTTTACTCGTAGATATGGCTGAGTACGTTTTTCAAAATGTTGAGGGCATGCTCCCCGAACTGGAAGAAATGGAAAGGCTCGAATTGTTTACGAAACCAGAAATCAAGTAAGAGTATAGAGCTGTTTCTTAATTGCTGGCTTTTTTAATGTTTGTATACTGGGATTTTCTCTTCGAGTTTAACTACTTTAAACGGAAAATCATCACAATGCCTTGTTCACCATTCAATGTTGTTTTCATTTGTTGAACGTTGTTTTTCCTTTATGCAAAATTAAGGTCCATTGTAAAGAAAAGAACAGCTTTGGAGTATAAATTACGAAGACGAATTTCCCAAAAGACTGATTATCTTCGATATATTCAGGTATTTGACATGCAACAATTGACTACTAAATCGAGTTCAGTTTAGCCAGCAAAACAAACTCAAGTAGCCATATTTCACGTCCTGCAGTGTATTTAACCACAGCCGACTTGCATGACACTGGCACATATAGAATTGTGGATGGATTTTCTTAATTTTAGGGGTGGTGCATAAAAATTTACGGGGGCATGAGCTTGTAAGAAGTTGACATAAGACAAAGTAACGATTTTAGGGAATGCTGGTTGTGAAAAAATGTGTTAGTATTGATGCTTATTTTTGAGAATGTTTTAGCAAGTTTTTGTATGCTTCTAGTATGAATTAAACTTGGATCTTCTCAGAAGGAAGAGAAGAAAGGTAATCTTAGCAACAATGTATACATTTCTTATGTAGCAATAAGTTGAGGGGGCTCAAAACATCGTCAGGAAGTCCGAGAGGGATTGATGATGGTTTTGGGGTGGGATGTGGTAATGTTTGGATCATATTTTTGCATCTTTTCACTTTTCAGAAGGTTCAGGAAAAAGATGATATACACTATGTAGCAATAAATGCATCTCTTAGCAATAAGTTGAGAAAGGGTCAAAAAATCATAAGTCCATGGATAGATTTACTATGGGGGAGGGAGAGTTTTGTTTTGTTCATTTAAAAGTGAGGCATTCATAGCCACCCACCCCTTCTTATAATGAACAGTTGCTAACAGGGGGGGACAAGAACATTAATTGGAAGAGGTGCAAAAATATTCATAGGTAGATTCAGATGTGCTTAACTGATTTCTTTTCTTTTGAAAATACAATTCTATTTTGAAGAAATCAGTTCAGCACAGCTGATTATATGACTATTGACCATTAATATTATAGTTTTGCCACTGATTGTCACACCTATTGTCTTAGTAACTTTGGTATAGCTTAGCCAGGTGTTTTAATAATCATGATTTTGGCTATTAGCATCGTGGAATTGAGCAAAGAGTCTTACCTGGTGAAGCTGTTTTTATTAAACGAATGCATTTGTTATTTCAGGTAAGAAGTTCAACAAAGTTAGCTCCCAAAGTTAGCTACGTAGCTACAATTTATTTAGCTAAATGTTCTGTTTCCTTTTCTTTTCTGTTTAGTCAGCTTTAAAGAAATTTCCTTTGGATGTCAAATTATGGTTACAATATATAGAATACTGCAAGAAAGCTGTAAGTTGATAATGTCTTTGAATGTGTGAAGTTTTTTCTCCTTTAAGTTGTTCTGTGTCAGATAATTTCCATTTATGCAACTATGGCAATTCAGTGTCTGAAATATTTGCAATCTTAGTATCCTCAAGTTAGTGAAATTTGATTTTGGATAACATTTAAGGGCAGCTCATGATGCATAAATCTTTACGAAGTGAGGAATACTCACTTTATCCTATGCAGTTGTTGTTGTAAAGACTCGACAACGAATTTCAAAAAACTCAATAAGAAGTTGCAGCCATTTTGTTAAACATAGTGCTTGTTTTGTTCATGCTCTGGTCAGATGATGCATTCCAATTTGTTCATGGCATATCAAAAGCCATTGATTGGTTTAGCATTATTGGATTTTGTTTATTTTTTTTAACAGGGTAGTACCCAGGCTCTTGGCCGTGTCATAGGTAGAATGTTACAAGCTCATCCTCATAATGCCAGTAAGTTCACCACTGTTTAAATAAACTCATAAAAAATTGAAATGTTCAAAGCTTTATCATCTCTGGCAAATACTCTAACAGTCCCAACTTTTTATTTGATAAATACTGTCTCTAACGACAAACATTACAATACAAAACGACTCAAATCAGTTGAAAGATTCAGGGGGGACAAAGGAAACAGTTGAAAGATTCAGAGGGACAAAGGAATCAGTTGAAAGATTTAGGGGGGGATGAAAGAAACAGTTGAAAGATTCAGGGGGAGACAAAGGAAACAGTTGAAAGATTCAGGGGACAAAGGAAACAGTTGAATGATTCAGGGGGGATGAAGGAAACAGTTGAAAGATTCAGGGGGACAAAGGAAACGGTTGAAAGATTCAGGGGGATGAAGGAAACAGTTGAAAGATTCAGGGGGGACAAAGGAAACGGTTGAAAGATTCAGGGGGGTGAAGGAAACAGTTGAAAGACTTAGGGGGATGAAGGAAACAGTTGAAAGATTCAGGGGGGATGAAGGAAACAGTTGAAAGATTCAGGGGGGGAAGGAAACGGTTTCTCTCCCTTTTTTATGACAATTACAAATTGACAGCTACGTATGCAAGTTGCTTTTTTCATCACGTCGTAAGTGATTCCCCCCATTTTTTTCACAAATACTGCCTATCCCCGATATTACTACAGGGTCCAGTTCTGGGGGCTGATGCACGAAGGTCAAATAACGCTATACACCGTTACGTAGCAATATTTTTGAATGCTTCAAAAATCTCTAAAATCTGTACAACCTTTGAACAGGACAATCAATGAAATACAATACTGACTTTAGAACTACAAAGTTTCATCATCGTTAAGAAAACGTAACATTTTCTTAACGTATTTTTTTAAACTTTTTTCACAAGTTTGAAAAAATTACAATCCAATAGATAACGCTATCCAGGCTTCGTGCAACCGGTCCCTGATAGTAAATGCAGTGTCCGAATTCGTATCTGAGTTTCTTTGAATGATTTTGAAGACTGGGTTTGTCATTCATATTAATTTGAATTATTTAAAGATTTTCCGAGAGGTTTCCGCATAGGAAGCCGAAACGTCAGACGATTTTAAATAATTATTTATTTTCAACAACAATCTGGAAGATCATGTTTGTAAATGTAGATCGTCCAGGTTGTCGAAACGTCAGTGAACAACAACAAAAACAGTCCTTCTCAGGACTTTACCAACCTGGACGATCTACATTTACAAACGTGTAACGATACTCCCGGGTTCAAACCATTTACTTTAATCTGGAAGATCTTTAAATAAATGAAATTACTATGTCTAAGTTAGTGACTTTTCAAAGCCTTTCACTGAATCCCAGCAAGTTCTGTGCTTCCACGTAAACAACATATCTGAAGATGAGCGTAAGGGTCATGCTTTGCGCGCTTGGTTGGCCATTTTAGGAAGCCCGAAAATAGCGGCTGTCTATATAAAACGTGAATATTGAAAACATGGTTTAATTGAAACATAACTGGGCTATGTAGCTTAGAAACAACATTTCACAAAATGTTCAGTGAAGTAAACATTATGATAGTACTCTTATAGTGTTGTTTCATCAAATGAAAATCAAAAATGAATTTATCATGACGTAGCGCAAATCAATATCACTGGCTCGGAAATGCAAATCTATGTTATTACGATGCAGTGACCGTTGCCCAGCAACAGGTTTGCTTGAATTTACAGTACTTCTCTTAATCTCTTTAAGATTTATGGATTATGGCGGCAAAATGGGAGTTTGAGAATCAAAACAATATAAACTCTGCGAGGTGGTTTCCTTAATTTCATAATATTTTTTTGATTTTATCGAAATAATTTATTTATATTTTTCGGGTTTTCAGATCGTTAATGCAAAGAGCTTTGAGATTAAATCCAGAATCGTGCCATCTTTGGTTGGAGGTATGATTTCCAAAAATTCTCTTTCGATAAGCCTAGACAGCCCAATACATCCAGTATCCTATTGCGGTCTGTGACCATTGCTTTTGTTTGAATCATTTACAATGGCCATGCCTACATACGCATGTCACTGACCGCAATAAGACCCTGGATAAGTAATGTTGCCATGGGTTTTTAGTTTCTTGGTTTACAAGCAGTGTAGACTTTAAAAAAAGACGTCTACTGTGTTTGCACAGGCTTATGCAAACCAAGGAGAACTTTGGGAGAACTCAAGACCAGATCAGTGCAAGTCCGAGACCGAAGGTTGAGGGTTGCACATGCTCGAGAGTTCTCACAAACGTCTCCGAGGTTTGCATACGTAAGCCAGTGTAAACACGAAAAACATCTTTCGTTTCTTTTATAAAATAACAACAATGCAAAACAGATAAATTTAAAGCAAACATTTCATTTTTTCCTCTAGCTTGCATTCATGATTCATTTGTAAATTCTCTTCAATTGATTTGATTGATTAAACTCACTACGCTCAGATCGTTTTGCACAGGCTAATGCAAACTCAGCTATAGACCAATCACCGCACGTGTTTTATTGTTTTTATGCTTATGTATATGTTATTACGCGTTTTATTGTTTGATTTTCATATTCTTCCCTCTTCCCTCATAATTTTTTGTACATATACATCCTAATTTACTCATTTTATTCCTCCTTTCCCTCCTTCCATAATTAGTTTGTAAAATCATTCCTGTTTAGACTTAGTTGTTAAAGAATTTAAAATACAATCTTTTACTCGTAGTATTTCAGACTGGAATTATTGTTTATGGAGAAGGTAATGTTAATTTCAACAAGCTCTTGAGGCACGCAATTTTTTCCATACATTCCATATTCTTAATGTTTTCTTTGTCAAATCATTTCAGGTGAAAAAAAGACGACAATTGCTTGGTGTCCAGGACCAAAAAGACAAGGTCAGTGTGTATGTAATGTAAGTGAGATCAAGCAACCAACGCGCTTTTGAAGCATGAATAACTCAAAAAGACAAGGTCAGTGTGTATGTAATGTAAGTGAGATCAAGTAACCAACGCGCTTTTGAAGCATGAATAACTCAAAAAGACAAGGTCAGTGTGTATGTAATGTAAGTGAGATCAAGTAACCAACGCGCTTTTGAAGCATGAATAACTCAAAAAGACAAGGTCAGTGTGTATGTAATGTTAGTGAGATCAAGCAACCAACGCGCTTTTGAAGCATGAATAACTCAAAAAGACAAGGTCAGTGTGTATGTAATGTAAGTGAGATCAAGTAACCAACGCGCTTTGAAGCATGAATAACTCAAAAGACAAGGTCAGTGTGTATGTAATGTAAGTGAGATCAAGCAACCAACGCTTTTGAAGCATGAATAACTCAAAAAGACAAGGTCAGTGTGTATGTAATGTAAGTGAGATCAAGCAACCAACGCGCTTTTGAAGCATGAATAACTCAAAAAGACAAGGTCAGTGTGTATGTAATGTAAGTGAGATCAAGTAACCAACGCGCTTTGAAGCATGAATAACTCAAAAAGACAAGGTCAGTGTGTATGTAATGTAAGTGAGATCAAGCAACCAACGCGCTTTTGAAGCATGAATAACTCAAAAAGACAAGGTCAGTGTGTATGTAATGTAAGTGAGATCAAGCAACCAACGCGCTTTTGAAGCATGAATAACTCAAAAAGACAAGGTCAGTGTGTATGTAATGTAAGTGAGATCAAGCAACCAACGCGCTTTTGAAGCATGAATAACTCAAAAAGACAAGGTCAGTGTGTATGTAATGTTAGTGAGATCAAGCAACCAACGCGCTTTTGAAGCATGAATAACTCAAAAAGACAAGGTCAGTGTGTATGTAATGTAAGTGAGATCAAGTAACCAACGCGCTTTTGAAACATGAATAACTTTGATTTAGATGGACAATTGTTGTTGGTGGTTTACAAGCTGCTAGGTTAGGGTCTGGGAAATAACTTCTTTAGATGGTTAAATGGATTTTAAGAACATTTTACCGGATGTTACGTAAGAAGGGGAACACGTGCATTAAAGATGTAGCTTTTATTATACTGAATTCAACTGTTGTAGTAAATCTTCTTAAAAAATCGCTTTACAAATTTATGATGCTGCATAGGTGTGTATATTTTGACTATGTCCTTTGATTGAACTATCGAAGAAAACTGTAGAGTTGCGTTTTCTCCTTTTTACGTCACTTCCGGCGCTAAGTCACATACTTCAAGGCCCAAAACGTCCGTGAAGATAACAGTTTTAACTTATCAAATACATTGCAAATGTTAACCCATAACTACACTTTACTTTCCGATGAACTCGGTTTCTTTCTTGCTCATATCTAATCATGCTGATAACATTTTCTGTTTTGTAAGTTTTGTAATGCAGTATTATGACGAGTCTTTACGATTATAAACTTTCTGGGAGGGGAGGGTGAATATAATTTATGTTCGTCTTGATTTAATGTAATATTTTATGGTTGATTCAAAATACCTATCCAAATACGGTGGTTTTTTTAACTTTGCACTATCCAAGGATCCCTAGTTATATACTGTTGAAGTTTTCAATCATGTAAAGTCATATAGTATGTATTTATACATGGTATAGTCTTGATATTGCCTCCATATATCATGTACAGAGTTACTGAAAGAAATTCCAGAACCTTGGACAAAATTTTCTCTTGTTACGATGTGTCGTGATGATTTTGAATATTTGCTCGGCAGCTTTTAAACGGAACTTGGACAAACCCAAACTTTTCTTGCTTGCTTTGTTTTTAGGTTCCTTTTAGGATGGGGTATCGTGTCCCCTCTAAATGCTCTCCACCTTCCGCCTCCCCGTTGTCGGTGGTCTTGTCTATACATGATATACGTTATATTTATTTAGGATGTGGTAGATACACCAAGTTCTAGTGAATTCTTATCTGGAAAAACAGCTCATATTGTATACAAAAACGCAATACAAAGCATTTCGGGTATTGTATTTGAAGAAAAAGTTTTCGATTCATAATATGTATTTTTTATTTTTTTATTTACGCATGTGAAGCGAAATTTTTTTGATTTCCTGCAATCTGATTGGCTGCAGCAGTGATATTCTTTGATTTCCTGCAATCTGATTGGCTGCAGCATTGGGCAGCTTTTTGCGATGTCTTGACCGTTTTCCAAAAGGGGATATTTTTATCGCAACGTGTTTGTTTGCAACGTAAAAGTTAAATTTTTGAATTGATTTAAAAGCGATGCAAACTGTTCAAAGAGAAAGCAAAATGCATTCAGATGAAAGTTATCATTTTACTATCCAGACGAAGTAAACATTGTAGAAAACAATCCAATTTCAGTCTAAGCAAGCCACATCGGCTATTTTATTGCGCAAATTTCTTTATTATAGAAATAAAAAAATAAAGACGTTATTTCCCGTTTAGGTCGGTCCGTACTTAAAAAATATTTTCACTCGGTCTCAAAAACGATACAAATAATGAAAGGCAATTCTACAGATTATCCTCGACAGTTTTTCTCAATACATACGAATGAAATGTATGAATTATGAAATAACAATCACGTTCTCAACTTGCCAAAAACAAATGCCATAAAACGTAGCTTTGCATATAGAGGTGCAGAGGCTTGGAATAACATTGAAGATAAAAGAAAATATCCATTGCATGCATAAACTGTATAGATTAAATATTTTTATTTTTATATAGCTCATACTTTGTTTTTTTTTGTTTGTTTATTTTATACCTAGATGTAGTATACTTTTTAATTTTATTTTATCACACGGCTATCTGAAAATCAACTTTTTTATTTTTATATGTAGTTGTATTTTAGGATCCAAGTTGAGATACTAACGTGCTCAAATAAATGTAAATAATAAATAATAACAAACGTCCTTCGGCCTCGAGCCACTTTTGAAACCTCCGGTGAAAATATTTTTCTGTACGGACTTCCCAACCGATAAATAACATATATATATTTTCTTTTTTATAGATAATCTAGAATTTCGTTTGAAATTCGTTGATATTTATGATTTGTTCTGTGATTGTGATGAAGGAATTGATGAAGTATATAGAAGGTTGGTGAGATATTAAATTTGTGTTTTTGCGAAATTTTTGAAAATTCCAACTGCTCTTGAAAGGTTAAGAATTTCGCGTTGTTTCAGTAGTCTATTGAAAGTTTTAATCGATTATTAAACTATTAATTTTACTTTCGTTTTGTATCATATTGTTTTCAAATTTTATATTTGTTGACGATTTGAAGATTGAGTAAGATGAGAACGAGTCTCTAATTCGTGCTTTGCGTGACTAGTGCTCATACGGGACCATTATCAGTGTACGGGACCAATGATTTAGAACCCAGTCCTCTAGATACCTAACTACCGTGTCAAGATGAGTGAAGGATGGCATCTTGAAAGGTGGCAAAAAGCAAAACTGAAAATGCAAAATAAGCTAAAAGAAAGTTTAAAAAACAATTTTATCAATCTTTTTATGAAACCTAGGCTATCGACTTGGCAACTATATATCAACTCACCAAAAGCAGTTGTTAGTCGTAAATATCGTCAGTTTTACCATCTTTCAAGATGGCGACTTGCCTCACTACTAACTATAGAATTTTGGCGGAGTCAGATATCTAGTAGACTGGGTTCTAGGTCATTGATCAGAGCATCTAATTTTGAGTTGAAAGTACCATTTCAACCAAACTGTTGGTTGGAAATTTCTAAAAAAGAATTTATAGACAAAATTTTACGAATAGGATTATTTTTCAAATATTTTGAATTTTAAGTGTAATTATTTTGATGTATTCTGAGTTACCCTAGGATCTGTTATTGTCCCTATAAAATCGTCAACTAGCGCGCAAAGCACGACTCTGATACTCTTTCTTGTATATTTAAAATAAATACCTCACACTGAGCAAAGTTTTAATGCAAAACGAGCTTATCCTAGGTCGAAATGACTGGTGACAATCGTGCGTGAATTGTTTTCTTTTATTTTACAGTCTGTCAAAAGATTTTCCGCTTTCTGAAGAAGCTTGGAATGCTTTAGCTATGCGGAATTTGAAAGAAAAACAGGCTGGAAAACTTCAAGACAAAGGTAAGTAATGCTTGTCATTAGCGTAGCCAGCCAGCAAATTTTAAGCCTGTTTTCCACTTGCCACGTATCGTAACGTATCGTAGCAAAACGTAACATGGCGCATGCGTCCATCAAAGTGACCATCAAATTCATTAGCACGCATGCGCCATGTTACGTTTTGCTACGATACGTTACGATACGTGGCTAGTGGAAAGCAGGCTTAAGTCCTACTATGTAAATTTCAAAACATTTTCATTTTTTTTTTTTTGAAATCCATTGTTTTTACATTGACCAGTCCGCGGAAAATTTCTATAGCTTGACTAAATAAACCAAAAGACTACACATCTTATCTACTTAATTGAATACTGTTGTTATGTACTGTATGTACGATGTATTTATTGTTCATATGTTTAAACTTTGCTTTAATTTTTGAAGATTTCGATAGTTTACAGTCTGAAAGAAACAGCGTCTTTGAAGATGCTGTCCAGAAAGTGAATACAGGTACGTCTAACTTACGATGGTTTTTTTAGCTGTCAAAAACAGCAACCACGCATTCTCACTTTAGTCTTATGAGCTCAATAGCAGCAACCACGCATTCTCACTTTAGTGTTATAAACTCAAAAACAGTAACCACGCATGCTCACTTTAGACATATAAACTCAAAAACAGTAACCACGCATGCTCACTTTAGACATATTAATTCAAAAACAGTAACCACGCATGTTCACTTTAGACATATTAACTCAAAAACAGTTACCACGCATGCTCACTTTAGGCCTACTTCAAACGTCGATTTTTACATGTGCCAAATGCATTGAAAAAAAATATCAATATGAGAAAATTCCTGATTATCTTTTGTTTTTAATGCATTCAACTCTTGTATAGCTCGACTTTGGAAACGGGTCTTAGTCTAATAATGGATATGCTCTCAATTCTCGTAACGCTGAGATGTTTGACGAATGTATTGACTTTCAGAGTTTTTTCTATTACGATGAGGGGCAATAATCATATATGCAAATTATAATCCACAGAAAACAATTGATTTTAATAGAACTTACTACGCCAGAGCATGAAAACATGAATATTCCCGCCTCTCCCAGTTATCGAGCTGGCTACGGCAGCAATACTTTTGTCCAAATTGTTTCTTTACACTGTTGCCATCATTTGACGCCTACTTTTGATGCTTTCACGCTTCATCCACCCCACCCCCCTAATGTCGATTTTCTTTGGCCGTGTCTATGTCTATTCTCAATAATTTTTCACCCTCCCCCCCCTTTCATTTCAATTTCCGTTATAAAAATTCATACCTCATTTTATTAATTAATGAATTATTTCTTCAGAGAAAATGTGGAGTTATTACCTCGATGCTTGTGTCGGAGATTTGGAAAGACACACAATTTCAGACAAAGTCTTGAAGAAAGTATGAATGTTTATGTCAAATAGAACATTCCCTAATGCCACTAATTATTTGGACTCTTCTATCCTCGTGTCCCTCATGTCCCTTATGCCACTGAATGTTTTAAACTCCACTTTCCTCGTGTCCTTTATATCCTTCATGCCACTAATGTTTTGGACTCTACTTTCCTCGTGTCTCTCATGTCCCTCATGCCACTAAATGTTTTAAATTCTACTTTCCTCTTGTCCTTTATATCCTTCATGCCACTAAATGTTTAAACTCTACTTTCCTTGTGTCCCTTATATCCTTCATGCCACTAATTGTTTGGACTCTACTTCCCTCGTGTCCCTCATGTCCCTCATGCCACTAACTGTTTGAACTCTACTATCCTCGTGTCCCTCATGCCACTAATTGTTTTAAACTCTACTTTCCTCGTGTCCTTTATATCCCTCATGCCACTAATTGTTTGGACTCTACTTTCCTCGTGTCCCTCATGTCCCTCGTTTTACTTATTTCTCTCATTCAACATATTGTTCATTTTCTCGCAGAATGTGGAACACACTCTAAAGGTTTTTCGATCAGCTCATGAAGCGAAGAAGCTCTCGGCGGAAAAACACGTTCTGTGGGTAAGAGAAATGCCTAAATAACTACCATTGTCCAAAGGAACTGTTCTCTTTAAGTTGATGGTCTTTTAGTGATTTTCTGTGGGAGCTGTTATAGTTCGCTCATGCAATCTCCGTGACGAAGCAATATTTTTTCTAAACTGCATCCAAAATGGCGTTTATAGAGGCTTTATAATTATGAGGGAACAGTACCACATTGTGAATTGAAAACGTGGAAAAAGAGTGAAATTAGTTGTTGCACATTTGAATCAATTTCCGTCGTAATTTCTCTTAAAACGCACTTTGTTTCGGTTCCAAATTTATGCGAAAACTGTAGGTTTCGTAATCAAAGACAGTTAGAAAATTTCGTGTAGATTTATAAAGAATCTCAAACGATACGATATATAGCAAAAGGAGTTTATATTTATACATATCTTTATGAGTGTGGATTGGTTAAAATCCCAACGCAATATATCAACTGGATGCCCTTTTCTAAAACAAAAGAAATTAGATTTTCCATGTTTTCGTGTTTATGTCTTATCTTACATGTTGGTTTGAACCATTCCGTGTCAGTTTTCTGTAGTCCTTACAGTATTTAATAACATGTGAACATTCATTAAAGTTGCCCACGTCAACTCTCTTTATCTAGGTAAAAATACTGCAGCGAAATGCTAAATGGAATGAAAGTTTGGCTATTTGCAAAAATGCGCTGAAAGATTTTCCCAGCTCGGTCATCATATGGAAAAAATATTTCACTCTTCAAATTAATGGTAAATATAATATCCTTTGTAATATTGAAGGCTTAAACCTTTAGAGGGTAAAGAAAAACGGAACAGGAGGGAGTGTTAAAGCTCATTCAACAAAGTCTAACAAAAAACATCTATTTTATTTTATCGAAACAACGTAAACGTTACTATCATTATACCTCACTTATCCAAATATATCCATACAAGTCTGTATCGCTGACTGTTCAATACTTGTTCGTCCTTAATAATTTTGTCGATTTGTTTTTTTAAGAAAATTCTTGTGGAAATTTGATTGAGGAACTATGTGGTTGTCTGAGCCATTTTAAATCCGATGTTGTAAGTACTTCATATAAACATTAATAACGTATTTGGAGGTTGAGATTGAGGGGAAACACTTTTCCATCCTGACTGACCTAAAAGGTAAATAACGTATTTATTTTTCACAAAAGGCAACAGTCTTATTAGATTGCAATAATAGCGTCCAAGTAAACAATCAAAACTTTGCTCTTCGTTGTACTTGAAAGCTCAAAAATTACTTAAAATAGGTTATTACTGTTAAAAGTCAGCCGATAATTTCTTTTTTAAAACGAAACGAAACATAACAAAACTCTTCGCTCTAGTATTTAGGTATAGGATTCAAGACTGCGGTCAAGATATCGTAGAAAAACCGCCCCCTGCTGCAGGAAAGGCTAGGATTTTGCACACGCTGCTGCAGCCAATCAGATTGCAGGAAAGGCTAGGATTTTGCACACGCTGCTGCAGCCAATCAGATTGCAGGAAAGGCTACGATTTTGCACACGCTGCTGCAGCCAATCAGTTGCAGGAAAGGCTAGGATTTTGCACACACTGCTGCAGCCAATCAGATTGCAGGAAAGGCTAGGATTTTGCACGCGCTGCTGCAGCCTTTCAGATTGCAGGAAAGGCTAGATTCCGCCCGTAGCTGATTTGTAAAAAATAAGTATATTTATCGGCTTGGGGGTCCACGACATTGTTAAGACTGAGGGGCAATATCTTCTGTGCGGAACGATCTACGTATTTATTTTTTTGCTATGGGCGACAATCTTGGATTGTGCCGATTCAACGATGAAAACAATGAAAATTTTGCTTGATCATTTTGCTTCGAAAAAATCAAGGGATTATCACAATTATGTTTGCTAATAATTTCCTTTGTAAAACAGAAGAATAGAAAATAAAAAAAACACTCCTTGTGTCCCTCGAATATTTAGCTATAGTATTCTTGACCGTGGTCACACATCGCAAAATTCGTGCAATACCGACCGACCCCTGCAAGAGTCAATCACATTACAGTGAAGGCTATGATTTGGCACGCTGTTGATATTTTTTAAAAAATATTAAGTCATATTGTTTATTTTCTTACAGGATATCTTGGACATGTGGCATTTTGGTGTTGAATTATTCACTTCACTGCAAGCGACAGATGAAATTGATCGTCTTTATAAGGTACTCAAGTGTTTCAAACCATGATCGACGAATCATACGTAACCTGTTTTGTGACGTCATTGCTATTGGTGCGGCTGACGGCTACGGCTGATGACTTTGTTGTAATCCATTATAAAATCACCTTTTTGTTGATGTCAATTGTCTGTTTAACTTACATTTTTACAGTCTTGTGTCGAGATTTGCACAAGTAAGAATGCACTGGAAAAAATAAGCGAACTCTACCTGGAGTTGATTTTCTTAAGAGATGGTATAAAACGCGCAAGAAAATTATACAAAAGGTATTATTTAATAAATATCCTTTAATGCCTTTTTCTTCCTTTTCTCTTCCTTCAGTTTATTTCACTTAAAAAGTAAAAGATTTTTAATGTGTTTGCACAGACTCTAACAAACCGAGGAGACCTTTGGGAGAACTCGAGAGCAGATCAGTGCAAGCCCTAGACAGAAGCTCGAGAGTTTTCACAAACGTCTCCGAGGTTTTCATAAGCCAGGCTTCAAACACAAAAAACATCTTTTATTTCTTTTATAAAATAACAGTAATGCGAAAGGGATAAATTTAAGTGGAATGTTTAATCTTTCCTCCGACATGTAGCTTTTCATGATTGATTTGCAAATTCTCCTCCTGATTGATTCAATTGATTTAGCTCAGATCGGTTTGCGCAAACGGATGCAAAAGCGTACGCGTTGTATTGTTGTCATTTTATAAATGACAACATGTTCATTTGATGTTGATTAGATTATTGGTATCCTTAAGTATCCTTCTGTGTATCTTATGTTCCTTCAATGTTCCTCACATTGACATAGCTCATGTTTTTTTAGTCTCCATATTCTTCACTATCCTTCTGTGTACCTATTTTCCCTCAATGTACCTCACATTAACATAGCTCGTGTTTTTTTTAAATCTTCATATTCTTCACCATCTTTCTGTGCATCCTATCTTCCTTCAGTGTTTATACATGGATGCAGCTAAAAAAATTTTACTTTTATTTAGATTGTTGAAAGAGATTCCGATGTCGTTTTCATTGTATCAAAAATGCATGACAATTGAGAAGTCACAGGTAAGGGTTTTTACGCTCTATGGTTTCCTCTGGAACGTGGATAACATTTAGACCCATTTACATTTCACCGAGTTGCTCTTTGAGCAAGTTAAATTGTTCATCTATAAAAAGGCAGTGATCATGTTTGTTGTTAGAAACACAAATAAAATAGACTAAATACATTAACTTAATAAGCAATTATTTCGAGCATATATCTCTTTCAACTTAATGAAGATTTCTTGATGAGCCAAAATAGTCAAACGTTTACTGTTCAAAACAAAAAGTTCAATTATCTCTATTACAATTTTAGGCGATGCCGAATATGAAGCGATTAAGGAAACTCTTCGAGACAGCGGTGGATAACTTCGGCTCTGACTATTCAGGTTAATTTCATTTGTGTTTTAATGAATGTGTGTTTACCATGATGCATTGCGTGCCAATCACTTTGAGAAAATGGTTGATTTTGTAGTTGTTCGACCCTGTGAAAAATTTTCAAAGCGTTTATTCATTATGTAGTCAACGCGGGCGTTGATAATTGCTGTAAAATAATGTTTTTAAGTAATTTTACCAAATTATGATTTAAAAAGGCTTCTTGCCTTGCTAATGCATTAATTTGTGCTAAGTGAATTTTCAGGAAAACTAAACGAGGTTCTTTCAATACAGTGTGCCGCAGGCTCAGATATAAACATAAACGAAAGCGCAAAATGCATCTTGGTTGACAGACATTCTTTAAGTAAAAACAAAAGAGTGTAATGTGTAATTTATAGAAGACAGTAATGTTTAGGGACTGTTGAGCCGGGGGGGCATGGACCCCTCAAATTTTCCATGGACAAGGAATTCATTGGGTAAAATTCGGTGTTAATTCATTGGGTAAATTTCGTGTTATACTGCAGAAAATTAGACCAGGTTTCGTCCCAAAGGCGTCCGCTTACTGGAGGTTTGACTGTACATCAAACTATCTTTTTATGTTTACTGTAGTTATTTTATATTTCTGACCGTTTGAGACAGTTTCATTATAAAATCATCTATTTCAATACAATAAAGTTGCTCCGGCCTCTAATGTTCATTCATTTCCCTCCCAATCCCTGTTTTACCTACGCTTAGGTCCATTCATTTCCCTCCCAATCCCTGTTTGTTCCACATTTATTTTCCTTCATTCTAACATCATAACAATGTACCTCCTTCCTGTAGATATTTGGATCGATTACATCAGGTTTGAACAGAAAGAAGGTGAGCCTAGTCTAGTTGCCAATCTTCATTGGCGAGCAATGAAAAGTTTATCTGGTGAGAAAGTTGAACAATTTATAACAAAGTATACGTTGTTACAGAAAGATTCAAGTTAAATTAAAATACTGAAAAACATAAAGCAAGTTCATGGTTACTTGAATATAAATAATTAAAACAGTTTTTCGTTAAATTTTATAATTCTTTTATAATTCTTAAAAATCATTTCATTTCAAAATGACATAATGCAGCAAAACATGTGTTTGTAAATATTAGCACGCACCCACCCCCCTCCCCTCGATATATTGAGCTAATGATGCCTTCGCTCTAATCCTTAAATCTTTTTGAGTCTTGCGCCCAAATTCATTCTCAGAAGACTGGATCAACTTTGTGAGTCTCGTTCTCAAATTCACTGTCGGAAGACTGGGTCAGAGGAATTAGGAATATGTTCTTTACGATAAAAATACTTTTGTACAAGTTAACAAAATTTTACATGAAGTAGTTTTAAATGTTTATTTGCCTTTTTAGTTGTATTACAATGAAGTTTTTACGAAAGATTGTCTTCCAGCTCTTGTTTCACAAAGCAAAGTTTTATTAGAATCCTTATACTAACACTACTTTTATGTTTTATCTAAATCTCAAAAAAACAATTTTTCGTTCATTGTAGACTGTGAAGTGTGGTACATAATGTGATAGTCTGATAATGAAAATATAAAATTGTTACTCAAGTATGGCAATCATAAAGTAATGAATGGTATTTTAAGTACTGCTGAACAAGCATTTCCGTTTATCGCGGGCTGATTGTATCACATTGCCATATTGCCATAGCAACGAAGCACTGCCAAATACATCCAATTGAAATTTGAAATGTTGCACTGATATGATTTACTCAAATGACTTCACAAGGAAAGGTAACGAATACCGTCTTGACAAATCTCTCCGACTATTTGTTGGTAGTTTCAAACGAGCCTTATTCTACGAGAAGAGATAAGCGATTCGGCTTACCTTCCTTGCGGTCATCGTCGACGATATCATGGCGACCAGCACGCCGTGGTCGAAGACCTTTGCACATGTCCACGCCGAATCTTTTTTACGGAGACAAAATTGCCGATTATAAGAGCATTACGAAAGATGTAAGTTAGCGTCGCAAATATTGTGGCTTTGGCAGTAATGGATATCAGGGAAGTTTTTGTTGATTTTAGTGTTTTTTATCTTTGATGTTGTTTACATTCTTTGATGTTGCAATTAACATTCTTAGTGACTAATTGCATTTTTCTAAAAAATGGTGTTTGCTCTGGTTCAATGCCAAAAAATGTGTAAGTAAAAGGGTGTATTTTTAGAGTTATGGCATCTTGCAAGTCTTGTATTTCCATGTGGAGACTTTTTAATATCACAGTACAACTGACTTTTATGTTTTCATAAATGATTTACCGTCTATGGATTATAAACTTTCATGACTGTTTTGTAGAGTTTCGGTGGAAAATGTGATTTACAACCAGTCCAACAATTGAACATCTGCCCGTCTTTACATAGCTCTCAGTTTGATTTTGGCATTGACTCGCAATTTCACCATAGCACAACAAATGGGGAAAACTTTAAGAAATATAGTAAGGTACCTGGTGCAAATCATGTTGATCGATCAAGATGGATAGATCAGATGGCAGGACATAGTATGGCTAAGATAACTAGACATGGTTGTTCAAATAATGTAAGTTAGCAATTTGTTTTTTTCTATGACAAGTCAAATAAAGTTCATTGTAATTCAACCACACATTTAGGAAAGTTTTCATTTTCCTTTTGAAGGTTGACTTCTCTACTACGTATTCCAAAAACCATCAAATGACACGTCCCCATTGTCCACCAGACAAATTTAATGGAAGATGGAAAACAAGCATTTACACTATTTGTCCAGGTTTGTGTCAGTTTCCACTCCAGTCATAAAGCCAGTCAGTGCCATTTCCAAATGGAATGGCCAGTCCACAAGTTTTATCATGCCATATAATTTTCATATCATCATCTTATTTATTTAAAGTTTCGAAGTGTAATGTTTTTACAATGAGTGAAAACCAAAAAAATTTACATACAGCATGACTAAATTTGTTTTTATACCTTCAGTTCGAATGCAAATATTTTGTATTTAGTTTGAAATAAATGTGCAATGATTTTCTTGGTTAAATACATTTTAGCAGCTGCAGATCAAGTCTTTCAAAATTTTTGTAGGGGGGGTGTTCTTGAGTCCCCCCTGCCACTGCTGAAGGCTGGCTATGCTTCTGATAATGCTGAATCCCCTTACATTCAATTATTGATCTAGGAGTTCTATTTTGTTATGTTTTTACTTGTTTTGACCATATTTTAAAAGTGAAAAATGCATCATTACATGTTTGTAAATGTAGATCGTCCAAGTTGGTATAGTCCTGAGAAGGACTGTTTTTGTTGTTGTTGACTGACGTTTCGACAACCTTAGCGGAAGACTCTGAAGATGACTACAGCTAAGGTTGTCGAAACGTCAACAACATTTACAAACCTGGACGATATACATTTACAAACATGTAACGATACTCCCGGGTTCAAACCCCTTACTTTAAAAATACATCAATTGTGTAGGAAATACAGGCGAGAAAAAATATCATTCAATATCCGCAAATGAATATTTGGTTAAACGTCGCAAGAAATTAGCAAATGGATCTCATTTTTGATTCATTATTGGCGGCGGGTTGAAGATATGTGTAGAAAAATGGTTGTCTTGGAAACGAATGAAATGTTTATATTTTCTTCGCATGGAATAATTATACCAGTAAAAAAACCTCTGTTATTTTTTCGTTCAATTTTAATTTTAAACTTTAATAATGATATATTGTATCTCATCGTAAATTTTGCGCGTTCCAAAGGCGCGCATACGTATTACAATGACCGTAGTTAATTGTGTGTGGGGAGGGTGTTTATTCGTAGTTACGGACAAGCTCGTACCGTAAAATTACTTGAAATTTGTGGCCAATCAGAATGCAGAAAATGTAGAAAAATGCTCTTTCTAAAATAGAGGTTTTATATTAGCTATATCAGCATTTCATCACGTCGCTTTCGCGTCAAAAATATAGAGAAAAAACGACGAAATATCAGGAAAACTTGAAACGTTTAGTCTTCGACCAAGACAATCACAGTTTCAGTGTGTATTAGCTTCGTTTTCAGTAGCTTCTACCACAAAAATGACGACTTCGTCACAACTCTGAGACACCATTTCAAAGTATCGACAATCCGAACTTATTTACTTTTTTCTAACCAAGTTAAAAGACAAAAACAAAACGATTTGTTTGTTGTGATTTGATTTGTAATTTGCCAATTTTAAAATTATCATTTAAAAATAGTTCCATCACTTTCTCTCACTATTCATCAACATTCCCTGATAACCATCATCGTGTTAAGCAGTTTTAAGAATGCCTATTAAAACCGAGAAATCGAAATTGGCTTTTACAGACTGCTTGAGATTCATTCATATAGCATTTATGATATTTTTTCTGGGAAGGGGGGTTTTTTTTGTGTGGTGTTTATGTTTTCTTTATGGACGAGTTAATATCTATGTAAGCCATTGTCATTGCACGTACTCTGGTGAATATCTTTACCCCACGCTCCTCGATAATCCAGTATCCTATTGCGGTCTGTGATGTGATGTAAAAACGTCGTATGAAGGTGTGTACTCAACCATAAATAGGGTATGACGCTCTTTTTACTCCACCATCTTTCAACGCATCACGCAAACGTCACGTTTTGTTTGATAAATTTCTTTTATAATCACTGACTGTAATGGGTAACTGGATGAAATGGACTCTTTGGCCCAACTTTTCTAGAATTGAGTTGTACCTTCAGCTTCATTCAAAATGCAGAATCGACTTATGTCATTCGCACATCCAGCCAGGTCTTTCTTGCTGAAATACTTTCATGTATGTAGTTAAAAGAAGAAAGTGCATTAGGATAAATACTGTACGACTTCTGAAGAAATTAAATTCATCTTGTCAAAATGGTAGACTGGGCGTAAAGTAAACGTCGCCTTGGGCTATCGACATAAACTTGCTGCTTGTCTTCCTCAGCAAAAAAGTCAATAAATTTAGCAGGTGCTATGAGTCGTACATGTGATTTATCACTGATTTTGTACAAATGCAAGGATATTTTTATGTAAAATTGTGTAGTGACGGATCTGGGGTCAGTCAAAATAAATTACTGCTGCACATTTTGGAATATATTTATATTTGTGGTGAAATTATATTCTTTAGAAATTCAAAACCAATAGTGCTTTTCTGAAAGTACTTTGAATTTAAAATTAAGCAGCTTTAATTTATTTTGCTCGCTGCTGCTCGCTATGATTACCCCTGGATCGCTACAGAAATTTTTTCTCACAGCGGTAAAGCCTGCTCTATTTTTCATACTTTTGGTTTTGCAAACATTATTGTTTATTTACTCTAAGGGACATTGGCAATGAATAACAGGTAATTTCTTAAAGTGTTGCGTGTAATTTTGTTGAAAATTTTTTTAGCTGCAATTTGTTTAGTAGCTTTAGTTGACTTTCATGCTCTGTGAGAGTGTGTGTTTTTCTTATGAACGTGGTAAAATCTGGTTCAAATTATACAACATTACGTAAGGTGTTGTGGCTTTTTTCCGTTTGATGTAAAGTGCTTCCCAAGTCCAGTTCACTAGCTGTTTTGTTTTGTGATTTTACCTATTTTTTTTCAACTGCTATCTACTTTGAAATTTTCCGGAATTCGTATGTTACTCGCACGAATTTTCCATAGACTCAAATCACTCAATGCAATTCTAAAATTCTGGCTAAATTAAATAATTTGTCGGCGTTAAAATCTCCGTCAGTACTCAAGTGTCCATGGCGAAAACGATATTCAAATGGCGCATGTCAACTCGCAAACTAGCTGTTTGACCGCGCACAGTCCAGAAAGTACTTAAAACCTGCTGGATTCCGGATTTTTTTTTAGAATAATTGTTATCTTTATGACGCGGGTGGCTTAATCACCGCTTTGCCGCAGATAAAGACGAAATGATATCATTTTAAAAAAATATGTTAATAAATATAATTTTGTTATGAGAAGGGGGGTTTTAATGTCATTGCAGTGCAGTAAATGCCCTCTCTTTTGTATACCGCTCCTAATGCTTGAGTCGGCGCTCCAAATATTGATATAAATGGATTGCGCTTCTAGCAATATCTTAATTGTGGCGACTTTCTTAACGTGACAAGTGCCATTTCGTGCGTAACAAAGTGCCCTCGTTCGGTATGCAAAACGTTGCTTTTTCTTGTTTATACAAGAGTTTACTGCTTACAAATGTATTCGATTAAAAATATGCAGCAAGCACAAATTAGCTAGACTGGGCCCCCTACGACATCAGTAATCATCGGCATTGTTAAAAGAAATGTCGGTCCTTCGTTGATTCGATGTTGAAGATCACGGTGCCTTTGTTGCAATTTATAAATGAACGGAGAAGCAATATGGCCGCCCTGGTTCGCTTAACAATTTGATCTCTCGAACAGTCTAATATTCGGCAGGAAATTAATGGGTTGTTGTTGCGTTTTCGCTATTACAACATGTCTATTAATGCTAATTTCTCTCGAAACTGCTCTGCCTAAATTGCTCTTTAGCAGAGCTTTTCTTTCTCTTTGTAGCTAGGCTCGTACAACATGCAAACTTTTCTTTTAGAACTTTTTGCGACATTTCCGTGAATATATTTGTTAATTACTTTATGTTGACAAACACAGTGCAGTCTTACCAGAATAACAACGTTCACAACTAAATAGTTTTTGGTCAATGCAGTGCGACAAAATCGCATACATTTCCAAGATATGACGGGATCTCTCTGTTCAAGAATAGCTTTACAGATGCCAAAAAATACACTGACGTCATTGATACAACCGAAGATGGGTGTGATAGCCTGGGAAGAGTTGATGATGAGTTTGTGATCAGTCATCGGGCAATTTTTTTTGATCGCAATTATTCGAAACTGCGAACAAAGGTGGTGGCTAAACGTAAGCCAATTTTTTAAATTGACGATCATTTCGGCAATGTTCGTTAGTAAATATCAATGTCACGTCTCATTGGACAGAAACGGTTCGGTCGTGTCGTGTTTTTCAGTTCAATCATCAGATTTTATGATTGTTGCGTTTTACACATAAAATCCTCAGTTTAATAGTTACAATGTAGGCAGTATATGCACTCGATCTCTGACTGAGACGAAAATTAATTTTCATCCATTGATCTATTGTTCTTGTTTTTTGACCCTTACCACAACTTAAATACGTCTGAACAAACGCGGTGTGTTTCAAGTCTGTTGAATCTCATTCGTCAATTCTGTTGTTAAGTACGTGTTTAGGCGGGAAAATCTTCAATATACTCCTTCAAAACACAATGTTTACTAATGCTGTTGTGAAGATCAAGCTTCAGACCGTCACGTTCATTGCCAACAAATATTTATAGCACCAAGTGTCTTTTTCAAAATATTGCTAAAAGGACGATGTTTTATTTTATTTTCATATTACTTGCACACGTCGTTTTCTTAATATATTATGTCTTTCCTGTGAAATATGCGCTATAAAAACCGCCAAAAGGACATTCACTATACTGGCATTCTTGGTATTGACCTAGTTGGTTTAAGCAACCAATCAGTGATCTTGTTACTCAAGGACAATGATGTTCCATTCAATTTCGACCAATCATAAAAGAACTAGGCAATCAACCAGGTTCTAAAAGATCAAAATTGTTTTCGGCCATCGGCATTTGTTCAATATACCCAGTGCCTTACCGGTATTTTAAAAGATATTTCAAAGATATCAGTGATCAGTGCGTCGTACACCATAACATATATCATTTTTGTATAATGAAGTATAATTTATTAAATAAGAGGTTTTTCCATTTCCAGAACGTCTTGTGTTTCAAAAGCCGGAGTGACACTTAAACCCTATAGCATATTTGTTTTTCTAAAACACTGCTTTTATTGTTCATTAATATATCTAACAATGATTACGATAGCGGTCTAGAGAATATCACAAGAGTTACTGTGACATACAGTATTAAGGAATGTTTAGCAGAATGCATGGAATATCACTGATAAAAATGATTTTCCCAATTATTGAATGCAAAAGCATGTCTTCTTTCGTCAAAATTTGTCGCAATCTTAGCCGTGGTCGCAATTACTGGTCGGTAACTTTTTACCGTCTCTGGCGGAATGTTATGTTGCGTTGGCTAATTTCGATGAGTAGATTAACCGACTATGAATCACAACGTTGTGATATCAACTTGATTGCATTTCACGACGGTGAAGACGTTTTAATTTTTTTCGGTTTTATTTCGCATTAAGCTATATACCAACAGCGGTATTATTTCATCCTATGGTTGTTGATGAGCTTCGGGAATCTTTGAGCAAGCCGCGGCTTCTTCGAGAAATGATTAGCGAGAAAGCGTTAACCAATAGCAAGAGAAGTCGGTCAAGTACCGTACCGCTTTAAGCTCTATAGCAGCTGCTTATAATAATTTAGATCATCAGCGTGTGTGAATTATGGACCACGTGGAATAGTGTAACTCGTCTGTGATTGGTGCGGTGTTCAAAAGCGTTTTGACGTTCTCATCCGAGTCAATTGATCAAACCTTATACCGCCTCTTCAAGTTCGGTTTCCTTTGAAGATGTACCGCCAAAGGCAACTTGTAAAGTTTCAACAATTCGAGCCCGACGCCCACCAGTAACACAGCTTTTTCGGCAAGCGACATGTATGCATGGTTCCTGAGAGAATCTATTTCACTTGTATTCTCTTGCGGTTATTTATGACATCGCGTACGGTGGCGTATTTTAATACCTCTGGTTAAAAGTGTCATCGACGATTACCGTGAACGTTAGAACGAGCCTAGTGCTAAAAAAAATTGTGTTTATAAAGCTTTGAACCCGATGTTATTCAAAGTCGTTGGTCCTGCCGAAAACGTGTGCCTTGTGGACGGTTAGCTTGGAGGTAACGACGCTTGCGTTTGAATTTGTTTTAGAATATTATCGATTAACGCAAGATTGTATCGTTTGATCGACCGAGTGGTGATATATAAAAATACGGCAATATAATCTGACCCTTGAAAAGTACTGCGTGTATACATGTGTTTTGTATTTTGATATTTTGAAAACAAAATAGACATGTCTGTAAGATCGTGCGTTTTAAGACCCGCTCCTCCTGGTCAAGACTCGGACACTTTGTCTTGTATAAATTTCGAGAAGAGTGAACACTATACGGCCGTTCCTAGACGATCCTCGGGTAAAGATTCATTTGAAAGCTTGGCAAGCAAAGGCGAAATGTTAGCACCTCTTGGCTTTGAGCCTGAAGGAAGCGCGTCAAAGCCTAATTTTTGTGAACATGCCTCGCCGCTTTTGGAGTATATTTTGAAGCCGAACGGATATGCAACGTTCAGGGAATATCTATGCGAACACGATCAAGAAACCTTACTTGATTTCTGGCGTTCCTGTGAAGAGTTTAGGCAATTAGCGAGCACTGGATCAAATCTTTCGATCCCAAAAGCGAATGCAACTTACAGTAATTATCTACAATCGAAACTCTTGTGTGCCAGCAAAATACAAGGTGGTATACGAGCGAAAATAAAACATAAACTACACAGCGGACAGCCTTTAAACGACATGTTATTCGACCAAGCTCAGGAAAGCGTACTGCGATATATGAACGACATTCATTATGAAATGTTCTTGACTTCTGATATTTACAAATCCTACATTTCAAAGGAACGCGTTTCGCAATTTGAATCAAAATGTATGCCTGCCCTGCCTGAAGAGAAGATACAAGAAAAGAGTAATGGAAGTTGGATTGTTTCAGATGCAAATACACCGCCGTTGGGAAGAAATAATCGAGAAGGGTAAGAAATGTGATATATTAAACACAGCGCGGCTTTATTTGCTACTTCTCATTCTAAACAGGGCTGTAATTTTCTTCTTGATTTGAGTAAACAGAATCTCTTTTCTTTTCAATAATGAAGCGATTGAAGAGCGGCGCGAAAGATGTTCAAGTGCCTGTGTTGATCTAAAATGTGAGCGTTTTCTTATGCAAAACGGTCTCTTTATTTCGTGTCGGCAATAGTTAAAGTTTCAATTAATTGTACTCAAGAATGTCTGTTGTTAAAAGCATTACCGCCACTTACGTTTGAGGTAGAAACCCTTGATAATCATTCGTATTCGCAATTCAAATAGATAATTACGCACTTTCATAGCTATCACGAGTGTTTTGTCAGCTTTGCAAGAAAACAAACCACTGTGTTTGCGATAAAGCGGCTGCTGCGAGTCGCATTTCATATTACTTTCATACCCGCGTCGATTTGTTTTTTGCTATTCCGGTTTGTTTTTGAATGCCGTATTTGTAATCTGTACTTAGCGCGAATAAACATTACATGAGTTTCTGGTCGCTGGAACTTCTTATAAGCTTGTTAACCTCTCTTGTGAAAATGTCTATTTCTGGATGTATTGTTGACCTCCCTGTCAATGAGAATATGCTATTTCGTTTCCACAAGAAATAAAAAAAGGCAAACGGGTGTCCCTAACGCTTTGCACTCTCAGTCAAAGGATTTGTATCAAGGAAATTTCGTACTTTCAATGTTGACTTTCTTGAATTGTTGCTAGAAACTCGTTTATTATTTCATGGCGGAAAAATTTGCATACCTTAAACACCGTTGTGCTATCGCGCCGAGGTGATGTTTAGGCTTGTCTTTATGTCGGTACCGTGGCGGTGTTGTTTTTTGTTTCAAGTCGTTTTGCGTTTTGGATTACGCTTGCCATATGTCTGATGCGTATTCGTGACTGATTTTACATACGAGTACATACTTGAAGCTATATTGCTTTACATCTTGAAATTATCGTAATGTGCCGCTGTAAATTTTAATTAGCCATGCAAGCTTTGGCACCAAAAACTAGACGAAGCAGGCATTACCTAATAAAACTCATTTCAGGCATTCTTAGCGTTTTACTAAAGTTGATGTCTCTTTGGCCAGAAAGGATTAATTCACTGCTTCCAAAATCAGCGCATTGCTTTAGTAGCTACTTCTCGCTAACACAGCTCACTAGCAACTCCTTTGTCGAATCAATGTTTTATTCCACAAATAGTATACAATTCAACGTGTATGAAGACTTGAAATCAAGCTTAACAAAAATGAAAACGCTTATAACAGTCTCGATTGTAGCAGTATGGCGCTGGGAAACCTTTCAAGAAAATAGAACAAAACAAGCGCAAAAATATGTTGTTTGTCATATGCTACTTTGCTAGCGTTGCTGAAAAACCCAGATGCGTACTGCGAGTCTACAATTTGACATATGTTTTTGTTTCATAAACTGTTCATTTCGGACATTGTAATCTTTACAACACATTTTTGTGCGCCTAACGTGTCCAATAAAAAACTTAGTTGTTCTTTAGTTAAAGGGCGTCGAGGTCTTGCTCGCGATAAATTTGAAGATGGTAATCAGCTTCAAAACGCGAGACACAAACACATGAGCTTGATTGTGTCGCATTGCTGAATATTTGCCTTACTCAAATGACACTTTTGAGGAAAAGCAGCCCGTCTACTGTGAGATGATTTCACCATGTTGTGTGCATATATTTCCGTGCTTTAGAATTTACAGCAGTTTGTTGTGGAAATATTGTGTATTACAAATGATTGTAAATGCTTTATGCTTAAAGACATTGTTTTAGAAGCGATTTTTGGTTTCTGCTGCGTTGTATTTTGACATGTGAGAGTTATTGCTGACCTAGCTATGTTGCCATTTCATCTCCCAACATCTTAGAACATTTTAAACCTTTGAATTTTTATCTTTTAGGTATGTGCCCATCAACATCAAGATAGGCAAGGCAGCCCTAGCAAGGATAGCCCAACAGCCTGCTCCACCTGCAGTTTCAGCAAATCACTCAGATGTACAAAGTTTATCAAGTGATGCCCTGACAGACGATAGCAAGTCAACTTTTACTGAGTATGTGCATTATTTTGTTTTTTCCCAAGATGTCTTACCCATCCACCAGCCCTGCCCTCCTGATTTAGTCCTAGTCCCTTTGTATTTTATTTTGACTAAGGGGGGTTGATGCATGCTTGGCAAATTTTTCAGTTAGGGCCATTTGTGGGTTTTGTTAGACTTTTTTGGAAAAATATGAATATGTATACATTGTTAGGCAAAATATGTAACAAGTAAGTACCTTAATTTTTGAGGAAATATTTAGCACAACATATTTGAAATTGCGTAAATTTAAGTGTTGGCATCAAGTATTGTTTTGGCAAAATCTTTATTCTAGGGGAATGAAATACAAAAAAGCATGAAATTAAAAGCTAGCAGATTAATCTATCTGTTTCATCACTCCCTGAAGAGGGATCATATTATGTCGATTAATCAACATGACAGAGCAGCTATGACCTTTAGCCTTGCATCCTGCTTAAGAATATTCTCTACATTCATTAATTACATTGTCATATTTCACTCACAACTTGAAGTCTGTATGAATCCCTAAATTGTTGCTTATTTTTCGTTAGCTACATGGGATAGATATGAAGTTTATATGAGTTCCTTATTTTCTTTGAAGTCTGTTTGTTAAAAGAAAAATGTTTCTATTCCTAAATGATAAATTTAGTCATAAACCATTTGTTTTTCTGTGCATGTTGTATTAAAGTTTAGTGAAAGACAAATGACATTGAGGCCGCTAGCTTTATGAAAAGGGTTCATATTTAGTTTTTGATTGGTCTAGAGATTGGCTTTCATAATCCTTGTATTTATGATGTGTAAGGATTGCCTGAGGAAGAGATTTTGAGCATATTTTTTTAGCAGTATTATTTTTTTTCCAAACCTTTAAAGTGTTTAATATTGAAGCCTACAAATTTTTATCTCATAGCTTTAGCGACAGGACAAGCAAATCAATGGAAAAACAAATGGGTTTTCAAGATGTTGCTGGCTTTGTACCAGTAAGTTCACATTTATTTTTTACTGGAGATTAAATGGCTTGCTATTCAAAGTGGATATTTTTTTGTTTTATCAAAAATGTTCTGTCTCGTGGCTTTTTCTTTAATTGTTTGAAAGGCATTCGTTTATCTGGAGGAAAGCTGTTTTCCACATGGCATATTGTACATGTAAAATTGTGTATGTTAGCTGTGAATTGTAAATTTAATTTTATATTAGATTGTTGTCTCTTTCAACTGCTTGGATTCTCATTTTACTAAAACAGCAAGCTTTCATTAAAAGCTGGGAAAAGCTGTCATTAATATGGCTTTATTGTACATTTTGCATATCTAAGTTAGCTGTGAAATTTACATTAATCACTTTATATATATATATACATAGTAATTAAACTACATGTATTTCGTACAAAATTCATGAATAAAAAGTTCTCGATACTGGATCAGAGCAAAATAAGAGCATTACAGTCTTTCAACTTCAATTGATAAAAGAACATTAAGCACCAACCATAAGAACAACAGCTTTGCGCAAGATAAATGAATGCTTTTTGAATGAATACAATGCTTATATATAATCATTATGTCTTATGCCAATTTGAATTGTTTCTTAACTAAAACAACAATATACTTAAAAGGCATTTTGTAGGTCCAATATTGCTAATTGTATGTTATTAAGATGTTGAGTGTCCAGCCTTATAAATACAGTTTATGTGTAAGGTGTACTTTTGTCATGCACAATCTAGAGAACCAAAAGAGTTACAAAGGCAAGTAAACAGTTGCCACCCAAGGAGTTTGCAGAAATTCTCACTGAAAAACTGAAGAGGGTCGAAATTGAGCGTGCCCAAGAGGAAAGGGCAGCCATAAATTTGGCAGGATTGCCTGAACAGGTAAAAGGAATTGATATTTCTCGTATATAATATTTAATTGTACTTCACATTGAATTAATTTACATAATGATGAAACAAATCGAAAAGAGGTTTAAATAGAAGTTCACACATCTACTATCTAATTGTTTCTTCATTTAACTTTGCCATCTGAGGACAATTTTTGTCAATTTCAACATCTATATCAGGGTTTTAAAATCTTTCATGGTATGTTTCTATTCCACACCAGTTTTACCTCAAAGATCGCTCACAATCATCCTCTGAATTGTAATCTCATTTTTTCATTGGGCAATTACTTTTCCCATCTATACATCATTATCAATCTTAACTGGAAAATATATCAGTACATGTGATTTGCTATATTCTGTTTTTTCATGAGAATTGAAAATTTTAATTTGTTGCTGCAGCATCCTAGGCGAAGTAAAAAGTCCATCTTGGAAGATGCAGCCGAACGCCATCAGCAGTATCAAAAATTTGGTGGTTTTGGTTATGGTTTGCCTCTTCCTAAGTTTATAGAACCATGTTATAACATGCCTACATCAAGTACTCCGCCTCACTATCCAAGATATGTGAAACAGCAACAGTGTATACCATGTTACTACCCTGCGATAGAAAACTGTCCAAATGCAGTAACATCTTGGCAAGGACCAGAGTCTGTAATGGAGAAGCCTCCAAGATTAGGTAATGGTAAAAAGCATTGGGAAAGTGTCGGGACTATTGAGTCAGCACCCGATAGTGGTGTTATTGTTGAAGAGGATATAAGTTTACACCCAGAAACTAGGAACCGGATTCATCAATGGATGGCTCACAGTGAGCCTCATAGATCACCATTGTCTCAGTATCATGGCAACCCACTGAAACAACCATATACTAGCAGTGGTTTGCCTGCTACCTTGACTGTTGCATCTGTTCACATGGGCGACCCTGCCATTAAATCTCTTGCTCCTCATAAATCTCAAAACAACATGGAGGAGATGCCTCGTCGAAGCAACGAAAAGGAGTTACGAGAGAAAAGGAGCAAGACAACTAAGAATAGGTACGCAGTGAGTTACAAGATTTATCTTTGTAGTTGTGATGGGTAGTTTTGACCTTTTAACCGAATATAACTGGACGGCTACTTCCCGCCAAAAATATTAAGCCTGCAATTTAACTAGACCCTGACCTTCAACGGACGGCCCAATGAAATTTCATTTATGTCAGTAAGGTAAAACGCGCGACTTTTTTGAGATGAAATTTTTCTTCATGCAAGTACATGCATGTTTGTCTAAAGGCAGCATTCCAGTTATATATTTAGTTCAATGGAGTATCTAGAGGTGTCTGGAGGTAAAATTTGGCTTCGTGCATGTGCATGCATGTTTATCTAAAGGTAGCATTCCAGTTATATATTTAGTTCAATGAGTTTGACCGTGAAATCTTCTTACCTTCGTAGGTCTTATCCAAGCAACAAAATCACTCGTTGCCAGTTTCCGGTAGACATTAATGAATGCTCGTCCTCTCTTGTTTCTGGCGAATATAAGGGAATTTATAGTTCGTCCTCAATCCTCTCCAGCGTACCATCTACAGTGAACAGCAACGATAGCGGTGTCGGGCGCTCGCAGGACGTAAGAGGTTACGAGGGTACAAAAATTGTGTACTTTTTGGATGGTGAAAAATATCCATATCAATCAATACTGCCCGACAAGACTGTCACTTTACGACAGTTCAAAGAACTCATCGCCTTCAAGAAAGGAAACTATAGGTATGTGGATTAAGTTGAAACATAATTGTTTGTGTTGTTTATCGATGAAATGATCTCATTTTGATATGGCTAAACGGATGTTATTTTGTGAACAATTATGTTTTTGGTGGAAGTGCTGTGGGTCCATGTAATTTTTACTTGCTTTGTCCATTTGTCGTGCTCAGTCTTTGTGCAATTCGCAACATGAGGTTTTACGAAGTCATCGTTTAAATACACTTTGTGCGTTTTTATCTTCACGGGGGGTGTTGCTAATGGTTTACATTGTTTAGCACGTAGTGCAGTGCTTATTTGCATCACGGGGGTGTTGCTAATGGTTTACATTGTTTAGCACGTAGTGCAGTGCTTTTTTTGCATCACGGGGGGTGTTGCTAATGGTTTACATTGTTTAGCACGTAGTGCAGTGCTTATTTGCATCGCGGCGGGTGTTGCTAATGGTTTACATTGTTTAGCACGTAGTGCAGTGCTTATTTGCATCACGAGGGGTGTTGCTAATGGTTTGGAGTGTTTAAAACCGCGTGTCTTTGTTTAAAAACCTGCCCAGTGTTAAGAGCGTCGTTGAGTGCTGTTTGGAAATCGTAGACCACTTTTATTTTTAGCATTGGTGACGCACAATCATGGCGTTGATATGTTGCGTTTTTGAAATTTTCACGTTTCCGGCTGTATTAAACAAATCTCGTTTTCTTAACACGATTTTTTTATCACTTATAGTTGTATTCAAGTCCATAATTTTAAAAAAACGTCTTAGCCTTCAAAAAAATCCACTTATCTCTTGTCAGATTTCTCGAATGTGTAAAGTTTCGGAAAGGAAACCCAGCGCTTTGGCCCAGCGTCATGATTCTTCTTTGAAAACGTTCTGCTCTCTTAAATTTTAAATATTTTAATTGATTGATTGACTAATTTTAAAAGGAACTAAGAGACTAATTTTTCTTTTTACCGATTAGCTTTATCCAATATTCATAAAAACGATAATTTCCATGGCGTTTTTATTTGATTGAGAACAGTGATGTATCTAAAGCATTTCATGATGCTGGTCAGAATAGAATTTAGAGTCTTACATTGTATTCAAACTACTATAAAAGCAGTCAAAAGGAACTACACACCAGCATTAAATTTGTTTAGATTGTGCAGCAAAGTGCGAAAACATTAAACAAAATTTATAAAACAAAATAATGTAGTATATTTGATAACTGGTAGTGCAGCTACCTCTGTTAGACTGTGTATAACAATATCCCGATAGTTAGAAATAATGTGCTCTCTATACATCTCAAGCCAATGATCTTGCTCGCCTCCGTGTAATAAGCAGTGGTTCTAAGCAAATTCACTGAAATCCCCCCCCCCGATGCAATATAGATTTGACATAAATTCCAGTGGGGGGATTCTCTTAGACTTTTATCGCGGGACCAGTACGAAGTATTTGCAATAACTTCGTCCATCGTAAATGTAAACCTCTGTAACTCTTTGTTAGGTATAAAATTTTTTTAAACATATGCCATTGTTTATGGAGCAAACGACAGTCTAAAATGGACTCGACTAAACTGTAAATGCCTGCTTATGTTCTCGTGATTCAATTTGTTGTTCGCGTTCTCGTTTCAGGTACTTTTTCAAAACTCCAACAGTCGAAGAAGATTGTCGAGCAATTTATCAAGAAATTAAAGACGATAATTGTGTTTTACCTTGCTACGGTGATAAAATTGTATGTAAAGTGAAAGAGTCGAAACATTCATGAGAATTTGGGGTAAAACGATTTAAACGAGCACCTCGTTGTTGTTGAGTAGGAAAGTAGCATGTACTGTCCAGACGCTTTTTAAAATCAAAACTACAAAATATTTCAGACTTTATTTAATTTCTGGTTTTTGTATTGAGTTTACACTTTTACTGATTATTCTTGTTGATTTGAAATTCTGTGCGGCGTTCAATGATCTCGAAGCCTCTAAAATAGTCGGTCTTTCATTTGCCAAAGTACGAAAACATTCCTTACGTCATGAATGATTCGGTATCGTTTTAGTTGGAGCAAAGCTTTCTAATGCCATTTTGTAAATTATTTTTGATTTAATCTAAGAATACGGTGAGAATTTTCCAGTATATTTGCCAGAAAATTGAGATTGGATCGTCTGAATTTCGCAGAATCATTTAACGCCTCATTGAATCCTGGCAAAACTTTGTTCTCAAACACCGCAACTGTCGTTGATAATGTTTCGACACAATTACAAACGCGAAGTTATTTTTTCGTTTTTTAATTACAAACATTAGTTCACTGAGGGCTCGCGGAGTATGAGAACCAGGCTTCTGCCTAAGTACTTAGATCTCAACTAAATTACTTGTGTGTGCGAGTTGAAAGGGAGTTGCTCGTTTGTAGTGTCTCTTGAATTCCGATTTTTCTTCTGTAAATTAATTGTACATAATTTTATATACATATAGCATTATGTAACATTGCAAAAAGTATTGTACAGCTGTTGTATTCTTGTACATATATGAGGCTCGATCGCGGGTAATTACTATGACAACAATGACATAAAACTATTTTGGACCAAGTGCGTGTTATTCAGAAAGATAAACAGTTCTTTTATGGTATAGTTTGTGTTAGAGGTTTGCGGGAAATTCCACATTTTTTTTTATAAAACCATTTATGGAGCACATGAGAATGGACGATTATTAAGTTAAACCTAACGCGGATGTTTGGATAACGAGATTGAAGACCTAAATATTTTCTGTTTTTGTTTCTTGATTGTGATTATCTAATGAGTTTCCGTGTTTGATCAACACAATCTGATCACTTGGCGTTGCGGTCAAGTTGAAAAGTTAATGTGAACATTCGCTTAAGGCCAAACATTTGCCAATTTTTTCATACACCCATACCGTCCTTTTAGACGTCACAGTAATTTTTGGTAAACGAAGTGGAATCTCAACTATGCTGAGCTGCTTTGGTTTCATCACTTTCGTTTCATCCTGTTTTCCGCTCTCTTGCACTGTTTCAGAGTTTAACAGTTGTCTTAAACCGCGCTGGACAACGTTAGGCTAAGTAGGACAAACTAAAGTCTTCCTTAGAAGATCTTTCACTTCCCTTAGACGCTTTAGACTTCATATAACCACTTTTTAACCCTTTAAGTGGCTATTTTTTTCTTGTTTTCATTTCCTTTGGTGATTGTTGCAATTCTGTTGCGCGTCACTTAAAATAGCCTATCAACGGGGGGGGGAGGGGCATAATGCGCGGTCTGTAGAGGCCCTGCGCAAAGCAATGTCATTAAAAAATTTTTGAATATACGACGATATTTTTTAAATTTTTATTTGCAAATATGTTTCGAGTTGACTCTAAGCCATCTTCAATGCGTATGAATACATTATTTACAGTGTGGAATATATAAGATAAAAATAGAAACATCACTCAAAAAGTGAGGTTAGACTTAGTGACTAGATTAACAAGCCCTTAATGACCGAGCGCGAGGTCTTTACGGAGAAATAACGGACCAAAGTGTTTTTCTACGGACCGAGCCCGTAGGGCGAGGTTTGTACAAAAAGGCAGAGGTTTGTACAAAAGACCTTTGGTTTGTTCAAAAAGGCGTGAAAATAGTCTTTGACATGAAATTGTGTGAAAATTTATGAACTATAGTTTGAAAATGTGTGAAAATGCATGAACTATAGTCCTAGCATGAAAATTCGTCAAAATGCAAAGACTTTGGTCTTTGCCAAGAAAATGTGTGAAAATACAAGACTTTGGTCTTTGCCATGAAAATGTGTAAAAAAACAAAGACTAAAGTCTTTGGCATCAAAGGGTGTGAAAATGCAAAGACTAAAGTCTTTGGCATTAAAATGTGTGAAAAAACAAGAACTATAGTCCTGGCATGAAAATACGTGAACTATAGTCAATGGCACGAAATTTGTGAAAATGCAAAGACTTTGGTCTTTGCCATGTAAATGTGTAAAAAAGCAAAGACTATAGTCTGGCATGAAAATGTGTGAAAATGCATGAACTATAGTCTTTGACATGAAAATGTGTTAAATGCACGAACTATAGTCTTTGGCATAAAATGTGTTAAGTGCACGAACTATAGTCTTAGGCATGAAAATGCATGAAAATTCGTGAACTATAGTCTTTGGCATGAAATGTGTGAAAATTTAAAGACTTTGGTCTTTGCATGAAAATGTGTAAAAAAGCAAAGACTATATTCTTTGGCATTAAAAATGTGTAAAAATGCAAAGACTTTAGTCTTTGCTATGAAAACGTGTAAAAACGTAAAGGCTATAGTCTTTAGCATGAAATGTGTAAAAATGCAAAACTATAGTCTTTGGCATGAAAATGCATGAAAATGTGTAAAAATGCATGAACTATAGTCTTTGCATGAAAATGCGTTAACTATAGTCTTTGCCATGAAAATGTGTAAAAAAGCAAAGACTATAGTCTTTGGCATCAAAGGGTGTTAACATGCAAAGACTACAATGTTTGGCATTAAAATTTGTGAAAATGCAAGACTATAGTCTTTGGTATGAAAATGAGTGTAAATGCAAAGACTATAGACGTTGGCATGAAATGTGAAAATTAAAGACTTTAGTCTTTGCATGAAAATGTGAAAAAGCAAAGACTATATTCTTTGGTATGAAAATGTGTAAAATTTCACAGACTTTACTCTTTGGTATGAAAATGTAAAATGCAAAGGCTATAGTCTTTGGTATGAAAATGTGTGAAAATGCATGAACTAAAGTCTTTGCATAAAAATGTGTTAAATGCATGAACTATAGTCTTAGGCATGAAAATGCATGAAAATTCGTGAACTATAGTCTTTGGCATGAAATAAGTGAAAATTTAAAGACTTTGTTCTTTGCATGAAAATGTGTAAAAAGGCAAAGACTATATTCTTTGGCATGAAAATGTTTAAAAAAGCAATGACTTTAGTCTTTGGTATGAAATGTGTAAAAATGCAAAACTATAGTCTTTGGTATGAAAATGTATGAAAATGCATGAACTAAAGTCTTTGCATATAAATGTGTTAAATACACGAACTATAGTCTTAGGCATGAAAATGCATGAAAATTCGTGAACTATAGTCTTTGGCATGAAATAAGTGAAAATTTAAAGACTTTGTTCTTTGCATGAAAATGTGTAAAAAGGCAAAGACTATATTCTTTGGCATGAAAATTTTTAAAAAAGCAATGACTTTAGTCTTTGGTATGAAATGTGTAAAAATGCAAAACTATAGTCTTTAGCATGAAAATGTGTAAAAATGTATCAAAGGGTGTGAAAATGTAAAGACTATAGTCTTTTCGCATCAAAGGGTGTGAAAATGCAAAGACTATAGTCTTGGCATCAAAGGGTGTTAAAATGCAAAGACTATAGTGTTTGGCATGAAAATGTGTAAAAATACATGAATTATAGTCTTTGGATAAAAATGCGTGAACTATAATCTTTGGCATGAAAATGTGTGAAAATGCATGAACTGTAGTCTTTGGCATGAAAACGTGTGAAAATGCATTAACTGTAGTCTGCATGAAAATGCGTGAAAACGCATGAGCTATTGTCTTTGCATGAAAACTTTGAACTATAGTCTTTGGCATGAAAATGTGTAAAAAAGCAAAGACTATAGTCTTTGGCATCAAAGGGTGTTAACATGCAAAGACTACAATGTTTGGCATTAAAATTTGTGAAAATGCAAGACTATAGTCTTTGGTATGAAAATGAGTGTAAATGCAAAGATTATAGACGTTGGCATGAAATGTGTGAAAATTTAAAGACTTTGGTCTTTGCATGAAAATGTGTGAAAAAGCAAAGACTATATTCTTTGGTATGAAAATGTGTAAAATTTAACAGACTTTACTCTTTGGTATGAAAATGTGTAAAAATGCAAAGGCTATAGTCTTTGGTATGAAAATGTGTGAAAATGCATGAACTAAAGTCTTTGCATAAAAATGTGTTAAATGCATGAACTATAGTCTTAGGCATGAAAATGCATGAAAATTCGTGAACTATAGTCTTTGGCATAAAATAAGTGAAAATTTAAAGACTTTGTTCTTTGCATGAAAATGTGTGAAAAAGCAAAGACTATATTCTTTGGTATGAAAATGTGTAAAATTTCACAGACTTTACTCTTTGGTATGAAAATGTGTAAAAATGCAAAGGCTATAGTCTTTGGTATGAAAATGTGTGAAAATGCATGAACTGTAGTCTTTGGCATGAAAACGTGTGAAAATGCATTAACTGTAGTCTTTGCATGAAAATGCGTGAAAACGCATGAACTATTGTCTTTGCATGAAAACGTGTGAAAATGCATTAACTGTAGTCTTTGCATGAAAATGCGTGAAAACGCATGAACTATTGTCTTTGCATGAAAACTTTGAACTATAGTCTTTGGCATGAAAATGTGTGAAAAAACATGAATTATAGTCTTTGCGTGAAAATGTGTGAAAATTTATAAATTATAGTCTTTGCATACAAATGCGTGAACTATAGTCTTGGTATGAAAATGTGTGAAAATTCAAGAACTACATTCTTTAGCACGAAAATGTGTGAAAATGTATGAACTAAAGTCTTTGGCATGAAAATGTGTAAAAAAGCAAATTTATAGTCTTTGGCATCAAAGGGTGCGAAAATGCAAAGACTATAGTCTTTGGCATTAAAATTTGTGAAAATGCGTGAACTATAGTCTTTGGCATGAAAATGTGTAAAAAAGCAAAGACTATATTCTTTGGCATGAAAATGTTTAAAAAAGCAATGACTTTAGTCTTTGGTATGAAATGTGTAAAAATGCAAAACTATAGTCTTTGGTATGAAAATGTGTGAAAATGCATGAACTAAAGTCTTTGCATAAAAATATGTTAAATGCACGAACTATAGTCTTAGGCATGAAAATGCATGAAAATTCGTGAACTATAGTCTTTGGCATGAAATAAGTGAAAATTTAAAGACTTTGTTTTTTGCATGAAAATGTGTAAAAAGGCAAAGACTATATTCTTTGGCATGAAAATGTTTAAAAAAGCAATGACTTTAGTCTTTGGTATGAAATGTGTAAAAATGCAAAACTATAGTCTTTGGCATGAAAATGCATGAAAATATGTGAAAATGCATGAACTATGGTCCTGGCATGACAATGCGTGAACTATAGTCTTTAGCATGAAAATGTGTAAAAACGCATCAAAGGGTGTGAAAATGTAAAGACTAAAGTCTTTGGCATTAAAATGTGTGAAAAAACAAGAACTATAGTCCTGGCATGAAAATACGTGAACTATAGTCAATGGCACGAAATTTGTGAAAATGCAAAGACTTTGGTCTTTGCCATGTAAATGTGTAAAAAAGCAAAGACTATAGTCTGGCATGAAAATGTGTGAAAATGCATGAACTATAGTCTTTGACATGAAAATGTGTTAAATGCACGAACTATAGTCTTTGGCATAAAATGTGTTAAGTGCACGAACTATAGTCTTAGGCATGAAAATGCATGAAAATTCGTGAACTATAGTCTTTGGCATGAAATAAGTGAAAATTTAAAGACTTTGTTTTTTGCATGAAAATGTGTAAAAAGGCAAAGACTATA